AGAAATTAGTATTAATTAGAAATAACCTTTGAGTTTAAAACTTCATTATCTATTTATTTCAAAATTATTAGGGAAATTTTTTTTCTCTTACCCTTTGCAAAAAAAAAAAAAAAAAAAAAAAACATCACTCGCATATAAAGAGACTATTTTTATCTCTTTTTGTAGTTGTTGGTATTACGAGTGTAAGTACCTCTTAACTTTACTGTCACCTGTTATTGGATAAGGACATTGATCTTAATATTTTTATATACACTGTTGATTGCTTGACTCTTAGCCGAATATTTTACATTCCTATAATTAAAAAATAATTTTATTATTATTGTAGTATTTTTCAACAATTCGAGGCATTATTTTTTCATTCGTGAGAGTATTACATCGAGGAGCAGCAGTATGATAATTCTCAAATAGATATTTAATTTTTTAAAAAATTCACAAAGATTTTTTTGTGAATTTTTTCATTAGAAACGAAGCATTTAGAAGAAAAGGGTAAAATTTTAACTAATTCATCTATCAAGTGACTAAACTGAACAAAAAAATATTATCCAGCAATATTATGCTTCTTTAATTGTCTATGCCGTTTTAACAGAAAAATTGAACAGAAAATCACTAACTAAAGTGATAGACATACCATTATGATGACAATAATCTCATTCGATTGCTTAAGCTTGTTAAAATATTAATATGTGCCAAATAATACGAGAACGTAAAACTTATTTCCAATCAAAATCCCAATAAGAATAAGCTGTACGAATAATTTTAAAATACTTTCTTCAAAAGAAAGAAAAAAAATTTACTCTATATATAATAAAACTAGATGGCGATTAAAAATACGGCAAGTTTTTTTTCTTCAAATTATTATCGAATAAAGAAAAGTCACTAAAAGGATACATCACGGTAGTTTAATTTCCGTCAGATAATTTACGTACGGCAGACTCAGATGTTTCAGGATAAATATCCGCTTATTATAATGGTATACAAACAATTACAAAATTCAAATAAATTCTTATATACTACGTCTTGATTATACTTCTAATCAATTTGCTAAAACAAATTTTGTATGTTTTAATTTAGTTAATGATTGGGAAAGCCCAGTTTCTAAAGGCAGAGAATCGATGACTGTATTAATGGATACTTATTTCTTCCTTATTTGTTAAATTATCTTTTAATGTGGTAAGGAGGCTTCATTATTTTTGTAAAACGGTTAGAGGCTCAAGGAGGATATGTTAAATTTCATTTTGTATTGTGGAATAGAGGATTCGATAGGATAAAATTAATTGTTGCATTATTTTTTGTTTGGACCTATAAATGATTATTTCAAAGCAATTTCACAAATTAGATATCCAATAGTACGAAGAAGATGTTAATAAATTTCATTACATTTTCGTGAGCTTGGAAATTTGATTAATATGACTAATTATGACTAATTTCATATTGCTCAAGCGTCTTCAAAAGTACAATAATCTAATGTATTTTCTTATATTGAATGGTAGAGTTATTATATACGACTTGACTAGAATTTGAATTGAAAAATAGTAAATATTGGTAAATCTTATTGAATGCTTTATGATAATAAATTAAAAATTAACTAAAAATGAATTGAGAAGTGGGAGGCAAATTGTTTACAAGAGTATAAATAAGAGTAAACAAATTTTTCCTTTCATTTAATATCAATCCTAAAAGATATTCTAATAATAAATAATTGTCGAGTACTTGACATAATATGCAAGTAATTTGAAATCTCATAAGAATACGAGTGACTATCAAAATAATTATCACAAAAGGTTTGTTAAACAAATTTATATGATCCTTTATTGTATTTTAAAAGCTAAACAAAATTCAATTAATATTCATTTAAGACTTTTATATCAATAATTTCTAATGAAAAGACAATATCCCATTATAAAGCTTTTATATATAAAATATCTCAACAATATAGTTGTAGTATTCGTCTTTCTGATAATTCCTTTCAACGTTGACATTTATGATATTTTTTATTGATAATACACACTCAAATGAACATTACCATTCTATATTGTACTCCTTCTATTTTAATATCGCCAATATTGAAATTAAAGTAAATTAAAGACTTACGTATTGTATTGTAAACATTTTTCAAATAACATAACGAACTTTTTTTGTTTTGTTTAAATTTCTTTATTAAATCGTTTATTTAGTAAAATTGATTAAATTTTATTGTAAAATCGGTTCAGAAAATCTTAAAAAAAAAAAGAAAAAGAAAAACCTAGGATATAATTGGGTTAGAAAAGTTAATTCAAGCAATACAAAATATTGACATTCACTTGTTAATAATAAATTTTATTACAACTCCAAATAAAATGTTATCTTTTATAATTTATGTTACAAAATTTGTTTTTTAAAACTTATTTTGTATTTGTCTTTGCAATAAAATTCTTGAACTATTGTTTTGATGATAAGATTTCTTTTTGCATAAGTTAGTAATATTTAATTGTATTAAGCAACGCCGTAATAACATATATTATTGTTAAAAGTTGAGACAACTTTTTATAGCTCGAAATAAATTATTAATATACCATTATTAACAACATAAATTATAAATAATACGAACTTCTTTATTTTTCTTTTTAAATAATAATTATAATTACTTACGAAACTTATTTTTCATAGATAATAATTATTGATAACCACGTAATGCTTTAATAACGATAAATTTATATAAAAAAATTTATTTGCTTTAAGGATTTAATTTAAAACGAACTTTTCTTATAGCAATAAGAAAAAATTGGATCTCCTTGAATGGAATATTGAATAAATTATTATTTTGGATCAAAAATAACTGAATAACTTTATTTTAAAAATTATCAATTTGCAATATTTGTGATTAGCTTTAATATATTATTTCTAAATTACATAATAATAAAATGAAAATTGTTTTTCAAAAAAAAAAAAAAGTTATAGTATTTCCTTGGAATATTAAAAAAGTTATACATACATGCACAAACATACATACATATATATATATATATATATATATATATGTATGTATATATATATATATATATATATCTATATATGTGTGTGCGCGCGCGCGCGCGTGTGTATGTTTGCCAATGAAAATTAATAATTTCTCTCGTTACCCCATCTACGATAATCTTGCAGCAAATTAAGGAAAATAAAAAAGTTAGTGTTTATTTATATTATTTATTAATTCGCTAAGACAAAGTAGTGTTAACTTTATTCAAAGGAAATTGAGAAACTCGCATTATAATAGTGTAGAATTAAAACAATTTAATCTTGATATCATTAAAAAAAAAAAAGTGCTTAGATTTGCTTATGTTGTTGAGTTAGTGAGACGTAAAATGGAATTAAACGAGTTTCTAAATTGCCATCGAAACGTTTTTACCTGCCTAAATATGTTAATATATAGAATTAATCCGTTAATTATATACATAATATGAATATAGTCAGGACTTTTACTAATTGCATCTGTATTTATACATTTTACAATTTTAATAAGTCGTCGCTAAGACGACGAAAATTTATATATTGATAAACTAAGGACAACAGACATTGATTTCTAAATTTAAAAACACTTTCTTTTTGTTACAGTATATTTAAAAGGAAAAGAAACGCTTTTGCTAATAATTGCGACATTAAGGAATTTGATTATTTTTCAACAAAAGAACGCTTCGGCAATTGTGAAAAATGATATTTTATCAATTAAAAATCAAACAAAATTTTCTAATACACTTTTGATGTAATTGCCAATTTGTAGGCATCGGAAATACTAAATTTTCTTATATGTATCCGTGCAAACTTGATCCGTCTTCAAATTTGCAGGTACAAGTAAGTAATGTTTTATTTCTCCTTGCTCATATCGATAGTTAACGAATTTATAAACAAAGGAGAAACAAAATCGCGAATCTACGTTAATTCGGGAATGATTTTGCACGTGTTCGACTTTTAGGAAATCGCTCTTAAATAAACAAAATAATCCGCAAGTAATATGCATAAGTAAAAGGATCGATTAAAAATTCTAAGTGTTACAAAGTCGATATATGAGTATTGAAAATTTTTTGTGTATAAGGTTCATTGAAATAAGATGGCATGTTAATTAATCATGAATTAATATTATCTCTAGGGTTCATCGTATATGAACAAATTAAACGTAGCAGCAAAGAATTAATCTTCATTATGATGCTTACTTCATAATTTACGACAATTTAGCTAATTTATAAATTTAGTTAATAAATATTAACAAAAGTATTCTACGAAAAAGATATGTATTTTTTTTTTTTTTTTTTTTGTATATTTTTTGTCGTTTTTTTTTGTTGTTTTTCATCTTCGTTTTTTTATATGTATTGTTTTGTTTTATTTTTTACTACGCATTCTCAAATTGACCACAACAACAGTTTGCGCGAATTAATTAAAAATGAGATGATTATAAATTCTTTTGTCTTTCAAGCAATTAATATATTTATAATTTAGCATTTAAATATCTTTACCGACATTTTCGGCCTATGCATTAAAACGACCCATTAATCGATATTGCAGCACCTTGAATCCAAATACAATATCCTTTTTGGGGCATACGGTGTATACTGATATGCAGGCTGCTTTATCAGCCTTCATACTAAAATTAATAATATAATATTTTTACAGAATTTCAGCTTTAAAAAGATATATGCACATCGACAATTTATCATATTTTTCCAAATATAAATATTTCGTATTATCTTTTTGGTCTTTCGCTATTACTTTAATTTACTTAACTAAGGTTTACAGTATCAAAATAAAATATCATTGTGTACTTGTAGTTTCAAAGCCTAAAATAACGTAAAAATTTAACGTCTTTCATCGATTATATCGTTGCACAGCATTCTGTTAAATGGAAAAATGATGCACACCGCATGTTATTATATAAACACTTTGTGCAGAAGCGATAGTAAAGTACATTGGTGCTCTTTATAAAGCCGTGAAAATATTTAAAAAAAAAAAAAAAAAAAAAAAAAAAAAAAAAAAAAAAAAAAAAAAAAATGCGCTACTTGAAAAATTGCTCGTCCACCTTCTGCAAAGTCCAACTTTTTACATATACTTTTGAACACCACAGCTCCTCACACTTTACAAATTTTTGTTATTAATATTTCACATTCCAGTCTTTTTACGTATCTCTTGTTATAAATTATACAGCTCCACCTCGATACCACCAGTCACTGTTTAAATATTACTTACAAGGCCGTCCATACACCCTTTCAAATTTCATTGATCCCATCGACTGCTAAATAACAAATTTTTCTCCGTATAAAATCCTTGAGTTTTCTTCGCTTTTGCCGTCACTAAACAACACTGATGTCTTAACCGTTGAAGCGCTCGCACCAGACGTGCATTCGATGTTGCTTGGCGAGAACATGCTCGAGAACACGACCAATGGAGTTAATGCGAGCGCGAAATCGCTCCCGATCTCGCGCTATTTGCTCCCAGGGGCCACGACGAGCGGCTCTATAGGCGTAGTTCCACTGAATCATCGTGTGAACAATCGGCATCGGGTTAAAGCGTACCTGCAATTATACCAATAAAGCGAGGATGATGAATTTGGATGGTCAATTTGGCAGGAGCCGATTATATTTGGGTTCGTGCATATGGCTTAGTCGCGCGATCCCGCATAATCAACCGATGACAATCGGCTGAGAAGTAGGAAACATTGAATTTTATTTATTTATTATTTTTTTTTTTTTTTTTTTTTTTGGATCACTTGTTCCTTCTTTTAATGTTTAATCGATCATCCTACCCATATTGCAAAGATATATATCCCCAAGCAAGCACCAAGAGGCTTTTAACGTTAATTAATTTAAGCCTTGCATGAGTTGAAGAGTGCTCTTCTTACGGATTACCGATTGTTCGACTAAGCAACTCGTCTTCTTGTATTATTACCGTACCTTGGTTCGATGCACCAGGACGTCCACGATGGGCTCGACACTCGTCGTTTTCTCTAGCTCCTCAACCTCCTCCTCGTCGTCGTCGTCGTCGTCGTCGTCGTCGTCGTCGTCGTCCTCGTCATCGTCCGACTCAATCTGTTCAGTTTCAGTGTAACTCTCCGCATCAGTCTCAAAATCATAATCGTTGCTGCAACTGTCGCCTTCGAAAACGATGCAGTAGCTGTCTTCCGAGTCGACCGAGCTGTCCGACAACAATCTTGGTCTGAACGCCGGTTTCTGATAGCGAGTCTCCTCCAGGTCCGTGCTATCGAACGCGAGCGGATCAACTCGTGCCGCTCTGCCTAGGCTTGCGGCGCTTGAGCTTGACATCCGCGATAGAATAGTCGATCACGTGCCGCAGGTCGACCTTCTCGTTGCAGGACTGCGGCGCCACGTGATCTACCTCGTCCACGTCTTCGGTGCGATACTCGAGCTCCTCCCAACTATCGATGTCGCACTTGATGTCTGCCGCTTGGTCGTTCCTGTTTCGCTCCTTACGGTGTCGTGACTGGCTCACGCCGGATCTGCGCAACTGCGACTTGGCTCGACCTCGACCCCGGCCGCTCGAGACGTCATGAAGTCTTTTGGGCCGCGTCTTCGGCGAGCAGCCGTGCTTCGTAAACAGACAGGGTGACTCCGAGGTGTGGTCTAAGTCGAGGTCGAGATCGAGGTCGAGGTCAAGGTCGAGGTCGAGGTCGAGGTCGAGGTCGATGATATCGATTATGTCAAGACTCTCCGATTCAGGATTGAGATTGGGATTGCGATCGAGCTCAGAATGAGGCTGAGGCTCAGGCTCGGGCTCAAGCTCAGATTCAGGTTTGGCCTCATCCTTGGGCTTGGGCTTGAACTTGGACTTGAGCTTAGTCCTGGGCTCGGATTTGGCCTCCGGCTCCGGTTCAGTTTCGGATTCGAGTTCCAGTTCGAGTTTGAGTTCGAGTTCGAGGTCGGGTTCAGGCTGGGACTCAGGCTCGGGCTTAAACTTCGACTCGAGCTCTGTTGTACTCAACTGCAGGTAGTCCACCACCTTGTTGTAGGCGTTTGTCAACATTGTCGTCACACTGGTCGTTTTTTGTGGCGGTTTTGTTATCTTTTCTGGCTGCTTTTGTTGCACTTTTAGTGTCGGCTCTCCTGGTTTCTCTATCATTACTGCCTCGTTGTCCTCTTTTAAAGTCAAGCCTAAATCAATGTATTTATCAATAAATAGTTTAGATACACGAGATGCTTATATTCGATTGGATGATCTATTAATGATTTTTCCAACACTTTTAATATATTTAATTACGATCTTTGTCATAAAAATAGTTAACTTGAAAGTCAAAGGCAATTTCATTACTTTAATAATTACTTTTTCTTTTACTTTTAATCGCGACATTAAGATTCACGTAAGGCACAAATACACACAACTATGTGCATCATAATCCTGGAGGATATTGATTATATTATTCGGAATTATTAACGATGTTACTAATTGTAAAGGAAAGCTTGCTTGTATTTTCTGCGTATTGTCTTTATTATTTTATGTTTATTCTATGTAATACTTTTGTAATTTATTACACTCTTAAAGAATATCTACATGCATTGTTGCCTATAGCCCTAATTCAATTGACAAATAATGCATCTTTTATGAAACACAACCGTACAACATTGACTTTTAATTTATCTCGATTAGTTGTACTACCAAATAAGTATATTACAATATGAGCAAAATAATTTCTAACCAATATAATGTATAAAGGTAATAATTTCAGAAGAATCATCTCAATACTTACAAATATCATGGTTATAAAAGTGATTTGAAAAAAAAAATTGACATCCTGACAATAATACCATAAGATTTTTAAGATTTATATTAAGATTTAACGCAATTCTTTACAAATGCATCACTTATAAAAAATCTTTTAAAATACTCATCATTTTATAGCTTTGTTTAAGCTATAAAATAAAAATACAATTAATTAATTGATATTTATTTTCAAAAGTTTCTTGAGAAGTTATTATAAAAGTATTTTCACGAATATAATATGATAATTACCCTTCTCATCGACGACGACCATATTAAAAAACGATTTCAAATTCTCGTCCTTGCAATCGCTAGTATTTACATTATTAACAATTTGTTCATGTTCCATTGAGTCCTTCTCTTGCAATTTATTGAAATCGACAAATATACATTTGTACTCTCTCCACCGTTTGTCACTATCACTAGAATCACTATTACTCCTATTAGCACTATCACTCATACTTTCGTTATCATATAAAACATTTGGTAACGTCTCGCCGACCCTCTGTGACTCTTTGTCCCACATTTTTGGGACGTAAGAGTCCTCGGATAAATTGGTCAGCTCGTCCTCCTTATCGTGCTGTATGGACTTATAGAAATCCGGTGAAACAACTGTCACTGACAGAGGATTGTTCATGCTCGACCAGTTCTTGATAAAGGAACTGGTGCCACGTGTCAGATGATCGCCTAGGAGATTTGTCGCGCTCCTGAAGAGGCTCTGCCACAGGGTTTCCTTTTTCGGCATGCTGTCATTGTCCAGTGACTGTTTTGTTGAGTACATTTTGCTAAATAACAAACATATTTATTTCTTTTAATTTGCAATTTATAATAATTATTTGTGCCAAGTTACAATACTATACTTGTAATGACATTTTTAATTAAGAGAAACACGATGTCATTCTTATAAGAACAAATAAATTTGCAATGTTAAACAAGCAGTTAAATATCAGAGAAAATAATGTTTAGCCAATAGTATTAGGATGACCATCGACTTAGAATAATTATTCAATTTATACTTTTACCCTTTTTTATCATTTAATTTTATCTAACAAATTACTTTTAATTATAAAAACATGATGTTTTGGAATTAGAATAAGAATCCTCTTGCACAAAGATTGATTATTTTATTATTATTTAAATGGCCAAATTAAGAGCAGTTGACAATGAAAATGAAAATCATAGTTATATTAATTAATTTATTATTCAATAGATATGACACTTTGAACTTCCTGTAAAGTAGTAATTCTTAATCAATTAAAATTAAACAAATACGTATAAGATAAAAAATATCTGTCAAATATATACACTCTATAAAATTATCTTACAACATTATCAAGGTACAACAATAACATACATTATATTTTGGAATATAAGTAAAAAAAAAAAAAAAATAAAAATAAAAAAATGTAAAAAAAAAAAATAAATAATTGCAAAAAAAAAATCCAAGTAAAATGTAATTTCTTTCTATACAGTATATAAACTTTGATAGAAATATCTTCATATTTGCTGGCTTTAACAATGCAAATGAGACAAAATAACATAACCAAAAAAAAAAACTAAATATACCTAAAATTGAAATTTTTGCTATTCTTGTCAATGCTTTCTCTTAAAAGCTGCTGCTTGTTTAAGGGATCGAGGCTCTGTATTGGGTACATGTTGTTGGGCCAGTGAGCTTTGAAATTAAGTTGGTATCCAATTGGGACAGCTATGTAATTAGTGGCAGAAGTTTCGGATTTTGAAATTGCCAAATATCTGGAAGTGTGGTCCATTGTTGCAGGACACCACTACTCAGCAACTCTTTATACATCCAGCCAATATTCGAAATTTGACACTACTGTTATGAGGCACTGCAACAGCGAACAATAATAACATGAGAACAATAATAACACGAGTGTAACAATAATAGCAATGACAATAATAATAATAATGACAACAAGCTTAGCGGATGACGTATACTTAATTTATTAATTATGATAAAAATATAACATTTTTATTTTATTTCATTTTATGTATAATTTTATTTTTTTAAACCTGTCGCAATTAGATATTTAACTAAATAATAAAGTAATTTAAAAGTGAATTAGCTTAAGATTGCATATATCTGCATTACGTACTTAGTACTTAGTAATAATAATTAACCTTAACAAATAAATCTTACAAAAATATTTAAAAAGAAGAGGAAAAAAAACGTTTGTGCAGCAGTTGCAGCTGATAAATTCGCAATAAAAAGATGCAAATAAAAATATAATTTAACAACTTTTTTATCTTTTAATAGTTTATAAGCGTTCGAATGATAAGTGACAATATGCTATAGGGCTGTATAAAGGCATCGCTATTATTATTTCATCGCAAAAAATAAATATAAATTCTGACAAAATTGACAAATAATGTGTAATTATGACGTGCAATATATATATATATATATATACGCACACACGCACGCGTACTAATAAATTATGTAGTTATCCGACAATTTTATTTTGTCACTTGATCATTAGTTAATAGGCTTAGTAACCAACACGAAAAAAAAAATCATTGAATGTTTTTGTATTTTGAAATGCATGAAATGAACAAAAAATCAAGCACCACCAATTTGTAAATACTAATTCATAGTGATTATAAAACGATAGTTATAAAGCAATGGAATAAATCAGCTTAATTATATTTTGATGAAAATCATATTAAATATTCATGACCTTGGATGACGATATCAACATGCCAGCGATCGGCGATAAATCTATAAATCTATAAAGTTCAACAAACCGATATTTAGTTCGAAGCCAAAGGATTAACTGCGCTTCGATCATATTCAAATGATACAGTGTAATTTTTCAATACAATTCAATAAGGACCATCGAACAATCGTAGCCCATATAAATAAATATACGTATGTATATCGCTCGTAAAAAATGGGTAGCTACAACGTCAGTCACGACCTTAATGAGCATTCGTACAAGCTACGCTCGGCGCGGAAAATTGAAAATGGAAGACTAATAATGGAGAAAAGAAGCCGTATGGTAGACATAGAGGAACGATAAGCGCGCGATTTTTCATTATCATCGCTACTATGTGCGAGCTCGCTTTCTCTCCACTGTGTATCATTTGTAAATTTGTAGGAAGTCCTCGTGACATATTACGCTCGCACAGTTAGTATCGACGATTTGTTGTCTGATTTGTCGAATGTGAATAAAGACGGCTAGCTAAATTATACAGAAAGTCATCCATTATCGTTATGTCAATTAAAACGGCCACGCGCGCACAAGTGTACGGAGTGAAAATTTATCCAACTGGAATGCATCGTTTATTGTTTTTCTTTTCTTTTTCTTTTTTTGTTCTCTTTTGTTTTATTCGTAATGTCCGAATGGCCGAGTTAGATAAGAATCGCCTGAATAAGCATGTCCATTATTTTGATCAAGTCTTTGCAAATAAATTGCAATGAATTAGGAATGCAATCGTAACGGTAGAGTGCAACATAGCACAAGCGTAATGTATCTCTAAAGCACAATACCTCGAATTCACGCGCAACTATAATAAATTTATATAAAGAAATATCGTAGCACTATTAGTCGGGCAGCATAGCAACTTGTAGACATTAGTTTAAAATAAAATCTTTCATAAATATACGAAATACGATTGAAATTCGACGTGTGTCCTATTAATAGATCCACGTGTATTTACGTATTTCTTTCGAATGAAAATGTAAATGGAAAAAAAACAAAGAAAAAAAAAAGAAAAAAAAAATCACGCACGCACGCACGCACTTTTAAGCAAAAAATCAATATAATTGCGCCAATACGATTCTTCAAGATTATCCTAAAACTTAATCAGTTATATAGAAAACGACGCCTCGACTATTTAAAACAACAACAACAACAACAACAACAACAACAACAACAACAACAACAATAATAATGATGATAATAATAATAATAATAATAATAACAAGCATACTATTTTACGACGTAACAAATAGTGCAAGCAAATGACGTATAATCATTGAATAAGGAAATAAAAAATGAGGAACGGCGCTAGAAGATAATAAGCAACGGGGCAATGTGCACGACACTGGACAAACAAACGCGGAGCTTTTTCGTGCTGCGGGTCATCCGAAGCGCAAAAATAGGAATCGATCATCCGTTCAAGCGCGCGAACAAAAGAACAGTCACGTGGTCATTGGAAAATCAAATGCATCGACGAAGACAAAAACAATTTAATCTATATCCTGACAGCTCGATTTTCATTTAACGAACGGTAGAGAGAGGGCGAGGGACAGGAGTGAGGACTGGTGGGGTGAGGGATGGCGTTGGCGACGGCAACGACGACGACGACAGCTATGGCTGCGGAGGTGAGGAAAATCCCAAGACTATCCGGTCGACGAGAATACGAAGGAAAAAAGTATACCGAAGTGACACATACATTGGCAGTACGAATCGTTCAAGCGCGAAAGGCTCGAAAGCGAGTGGCGACGACCACTGCTGTTCTCCAGTTTCATTTCAATAAACCACAATGCAACGTTAGTCTGGACACTGCTGTCCGCTGTTGTTGTTGTTGTCGTCGTCGTCGTCGTCGTCGTCGTCGTCGTCGTCGTCGTCGTCGTCGTCGTCGTCGTCGTCGTTGTCAATGTCCTCTCCTCTCCTCTTCTCTCCTCGTTCACTCGCTCTCGCTCTCACTCACTCTCTCTCTCTTTCCGTCTTTCCATCACTCCTTCAATCCATCATTCTCTCTCTCTGTCCGTCTTTCCGTCCGTTCGTCTGTCTGTCTGTCTGTCTGTCTGTCTGTCTGTCTCTCTCTCTCTCTCTCTCTCAAAGTTCTCCCGCTCACGAACACAGGCACGCGATCGCTCATGCACACGTGCACACGACGTCCTCGCAACATCGTTGGGGAGCTAGCGACAACCAGGGCGAATTGTAAGGGCTGGGACTTACGTGTACAAGGACAGCCTTTGCAGGCGTGATGGTGTTTTCGTTTGCAAAGCTCAACGTTGTTCGGGACGCGCGACTTTCTCGCCAGAATCCTGCCGTTCCAACTCTGCCCTATCAATAATCCGGTCTTGAGGTCAGCAACGTTATTCGCGATATCTTGCACAAAAGCGTTCACCAAGTAGTCAGCTGATACGTAAGATTCCATGGTAGTACGCATTTTCTGGTCGAATGTCGGATGAAACAGACGTAACACTCGTGGATCGTATTTTCAAGCGGCCATTTTCATAGTGAGTAAGCGAGGCTGCGCCGATCGTCGAGACCTTTTGCTTCTAGAGCGCACCTCGGTGCCTCGTTCTCTCTCTCTCTCTCTCTCTCTCACGCGCGCGCGCGCGCTCTATCCCTCTCGCGATCTATCTCTCTCCTACCACCATCCCGCTCCTTCCGCCTTACCCCCACGCCACCACCACCACCACCCCCCTCCACCTAATCGTCGCCGCGAAACCACCATTCCGCCGCGTTCGTCTCGTCGCCGTTAGACGACCGGACCACCCGCGCGACCCTCTCGCTCTCGATGACGATGATTTGACGATGATTTGACGATGACGACAATGACGACGAAGACGATGTGATGGTGCGCTGTAGATGTGTACCGGGGGTTGCAACGACCGGGGTGAGGTGCACATTGTGATGGTAGATCGATCGAGAAAATACGACGTTGCCAGATCGGTCAGTTATCTCGGGCGCTCGTTTGTTTATAATGAATCGCAGATGGTCGGTTTGTGAGTCCGCGACTCTTCGGATTGGCCATTTTCGTATTCTTCATCTCACGCGCCTCTATAAATACTTCATAAATATCGTTATTGTCGAGCTATTTGTATTGTGATGCAGCTATGGAGCGTGACGTTGGCTTATTTTTAAATATCTCGCGACGGCGGTATTCGATTTTCCCGCCTCGTCTCTCGGTGTTTTTTTCCTCGTTTACGTTTAGCATACGCTTTGGGGGGGGGGGAAGCTATAACGAGGAATTAAAAACATTTGGCAGGGCTCGTCGGTGCCCATAAAAGTAATAACGTCTGTCCAAAGACAAAAATGATGGATTGTCAATGGTTTTTGGCGCCATTTCGCGTTATTTCGATTATTGTCACCCACGAGTATCTTGTGTACGGCGAAGCGTTGCAAGGGAGCAACTGGCGACTGGCGGCGCCTCGTGTCCAATTTAACGACGACACGTGCCAAGGATATGCATTCGGCTTTACTTAATTAACCGACATTTACAGCTCCATCCTTTCATTTCCTCACTTTTCACACTGTTACTGTATTGTTGTTCTTATCGTTGTCGCTGTTATTACCTTTATCACCATCCAGTCATTTTATTATTTTTTTAATTTACTGCCGCAAATGTGATTGGTACATCTCACATTTGTTACTTTCAATTTTTTTTCTTTTTATCATTATCATTATTATCATTATTATCATTGTTGTTGTTGTTGTTGTTGTTATTATTATTATTATTATTATTATTATTATTATTATTATTATTATTATTATTATTATTATTATTATTATTATCATTGTTATTATTATCATTGTTATTATTATTATATGAATCCATATGTATACATTATGCATTACGTGTTCTAGTGTTCTAATGTTTTAATCGGATGAGACTTTCTTCATGTAAATTTACGTAAAGTATGCGCGCGTGTGCGTGCACGAGCGCGCATATTCGCTGTTTATATAACATTTTTTCTTACTTAAAGTTTATTTTAAGTATGCTGTACTTCAATTTTGCATCGTTCATAACAGTGATAAAATATTTTAATTATTATCGACAACCTTCAATTGTTCAAGTACGAGTAGTAAAATTTCGGCACGCAAATATGATTATACCACACGGGTAAACGCGCGCGCGCTCACACGCGCAAACGTATGAAATCCCCTATGAAGATTACAAATGCCTTTGTATAACTAATTAATACAATATATTTATTATCCGAGTAATTAACTCATATTGGCACATGACGTTATATAGTATCGTTTTACAGTTGCCTAATATAACGAGCATAGATTGAATTATTTTCTAAAAGTTTGTTTAAAAAAAATCGAATACAATGAAGAGAAAGTAAATTTCAAATTGAAGAATCCAGAGAAGGGAACTAACTCGCCGTCTCGAGTAGTCTCGTGCAAATATGCTCGTGTCTTTTTCTTTCTTTCTTTTTTTTCTGCAGAAGAAGTAATACGAGAGACAGAATATTAAACGCGATTCCTAAATTAATTAAAAACACTTAGATAAAATCATATACGAATGTTTTGAATAAATAATCACATGGTGATTGTTGTTATTGGCAATTAATGTGTATGCCTGTTTAAAAGATATAAAAGATAAAGATAATTTAACAATATGATTTGAAGGAATATAATGGAACAGCAAAATAAAAACGAAAATATAAAATCCTTCGCGGGAAAGGAAATGTGAATTATTATAGTATTAAATTAATAATTATTGTTCTTAGAATTTCTAATCAATGAAATATCAAATATGAACTAGTACTTATACGATGTGCATCACAAATGCATAAATACCTAAACGCATCATGGTAGCTTACGTGGCTTATAGTCAAAATACTAAAAGCTTGCAAGCTTGATTATTTGCACATTTTATTGAAAGTTCGAGAGAAAGGTTGGCAATGAATATTAAATCATTTCCTGAAATACTTGTAATGATATAATGAGAATGTCGATCGATGATCAGGATGCAACAAATAAATATCAGCAATTTGTAGTTTTGTAAATATATAGTCAAGCACGGCCTTCATCTTTTTTTTTTCTTTTGTAATATCTCACTTATTTAGATTATGAAAGAGCTGAAAATATTAACTAACTTGTGTATCTAAATTTTAATCAAACATTATTTATCAGATTGCGTCAACTTATGTTAATAATGACGTCACAAGCGAATGCGTTATTTTCCAAAGAATCGCTTTCATTTAAGCACAGAGTCTTAACAAAATTTACAAAAATGAAAAATAAAAAAAATCGAGTACGAGGAATTAATAATAGATATATAGTGAGAGAGAGAGAGAGAGAGAGAGAGAGAGTGTGTGTGTACTTCATCTATACTAAGTTAAAATAAATAAAATAGACAATAAATAGACAATAAATAAAAGTGTTAATTTTACAGTTAATTTAAAATTCAAATTACTTGATTACTTTAAAAAATATTCTGAATTTTATTTAATACACATTTTGCCTTTTCCTTCAAAATTAAGAATTATTTTAAAAAAAAAATCAAGTTTATTATTTAGAATAAAATCATCATTTATTAAATTAGAATTACTATTGTAGAATTCTATTTAAATAAATTTTTTAATAATCTTTAAGTATTATTATAATAATTCAATTTCAAAATACACCGATTTCTTGATGATAAATATTAAATGATAGATACTTTCGTTTAATATTAAATATTTGTATTAACACGTTCACGTACTTAAAATCCGCTGATAAATGAACGTTGTACCAATTCGTCTATAAATATAATAATATTTTTTATATCTAAGCTTTTCTTGATACTACGAATGCAAAAATTTAATTGACAAATTATGTATTATCGATGCTAAAACTTAAATATTAATATGAAAAAAAAAAGAAAAAAAAAACTACACGATAATTGCGATAATATTAAAAAATTTAGAAATAAAGAATCCCCAAAAACATATTTATTGCGTGAATTAGCCTTTATTATTATTTATCCGATTTTTATTCAAGTATCGATAAAAATGTTTGACCAACTATATGCCTAAATTTATATATAACGTACACATTGCATATGCACGTGTTCCTATTAAAATATCTAAACATTATCTATGTGATGAATTATCTATGTGAAATGATGAGACCCGCGCCGTTCATTAATGTTAACGGCATGGATATTTAATTTCGATACCTGTCATCTCAATTATCAATTTTCGTCCATCAATTTGCCTCCTCCAAACAATTTTCAAATATTCTTAAGATTTTTTCTATTAATTAAATTCATCGTCTTCGTAAAAAGTGTAATCGAGAAAATATTATTTTAGAAATTCCTTTAAAGCATTAATAAATGTCTATTTAAGTACCGATATTCCTTATTTTTTCCTTATTAATCAGCACGTGAATAATCTGTTTTGTGTCTACCCAGATAATAAAATGAATAAAGTAACTTGAAGTACATTTGAATCGCTTCTTTTTAAATAGAAATAAAAAAATTAAATTGTTCCTGTTGCGTGATTGAGGCGACATTTTTTTAAACAAACTTGAACATTTTCTCTTTTGAAGATTTTCCCAAAGTATTTTATGAATCTGCTCAAGAACAATTGCAATAACAAGTTTTTAATTCTAGTAAAAAAAGTACTGAATAATTTACGAATTATAGAGTATTATTGTATAATTTTCCCTTATATCCCTTAAAGTTACCAACGATATTAGATGAATGCTGTTATGAATTGACCGATCAGTCTCTAAATAAACATTTAGAGAATTATAAATTACAATTTGCTCTATTTATTCAATTTCGATTACGCTTTATTTATTATTACTTAGCGCAATAGCAAAGTTAATATCCGTTAAACATGGCTGTCGGTTAAATTAAATGCAATGCTATAAAAAAGGCTAATAAGATACGAATGAGCATTTGAGTGCGATAATTGAAATAGAAAGGGAAATTCCATATATATAGATGTATATATATATATATATATATATATATATGATGATGATGATGAATAATAAACGAGAATCGAGTAAAACTCATATAAGTTTGAAATTATGGCATTAAATATGTTACTTGTTCCGGGTTGACATACAAGCTCTAAATGATAATCTTAATAAAAAGTCAATAGGTTGATTAAATTATGTACAACAATAGTTTAGCAACATAAGAGATTTTTTTTCTAATCCAATAATTACCTAATAAGAAATTACTTTTTGATAAATAATTCACGCGTATAAGCCTCAGCCGATGATTGAATTAAAAAATTCAATATTTCGTCGAAATAATATGTGGAATACTGTTGGGATGGGAATTTTTTGTAATCAATGGTAATAAAAATGCAAGCATTTTTAAAGTATAATTATATACGCAAAATAGTATATTTATAATTTATTTAACATTCGTTTTCTTATATTTCAATTAAGAGACAATAAATGTTAGTAATATGTTCGTTCTAGCTAACGATTTTGTAAATCAATTAGGGTAAATCATTTCACATAAACGATGCAGGAATTATTTACATGTAGGCAAAGTTGTGCGGTCGATCTCGTTATTATTATTAATACTAATATTTATATTTACAATACTATACGGCTTATCATTAATAGGAAGTTTTTTTTAATTGGCATCGCATGATAAACCAAAAAATGTTACCTTCATAATCGACATTCATTGCATATAAGGCATATTTAATATAATATATATATATATATATATATATCGCACAATCCATATTGTGAAAGTAATTATCGTAGATACTTGCGCTAATAAATTAAAATTATAAATTAATTTATTTGTAAAATGAAATATTTTTTATTATATTTAATACATTTATTTCTAGATGATATTATTATACAAAATGAAATTTTATTACGCTTATTAAATAAAGCTAATTTAAAAATAAATTCATGTTATTATATCAATTATTAAATAACAAAGAATACGTTAATTTTAATTTTGTTAATATTTTGAATATAATTTTCATAATTTAAGTAAATGTAAATTTATAGCAAATCTTTATATATATATATATATATATATATATAGTTGAGTATTTTAGTAAATAATTTAATTTTAATTTTAAAATATTTGCTACTTTTAGTGTTTTAAAAGATTACCAATTGTCATTCGCCTCTATATATTTCCATTAAAATTCATTGTCCTAATTAGCAATATAAAAGTCACAATTTATAAATATGAAAGAGTAATAATTTTAAAGATTATTTTAATTGCCAAATGATGCTTCTACATTGACTTTTAATTTATAAAATATCAATTATCTGTCGATTAACTTAGTAATTGAATTATTTTATGTATTAATATTAATTTAATTTTAAATATTAATATACTTGGCCACCTGCGAGATGAAAGAGAGAGGAAGAATGTTTATGATTATATGGATGTTTCTTCTTTGGTGAAAAACCGTGAAGAGGATCTCAAATTATTAGATAGTCTCATGAGATAAACTTAAGATTGCAATTGTGCTTTGATTACTTGTATTGATAAATATTCGTAGGGTATTTGAATGTACCAGAATTGCATATAATACATGTTTTATATCAAATTCGGAATGTATTAAAACTACTAGTGACGATTTGCGATAAATGTAATTTTAATTTTATTCTCGTCTCCTTATAATATTAGTTTTATTTTGAATTTTATTAAATTATTTTAAAAATTAATTTTCTTATTATTGTTATACAAACTGTATATATAAACTGTAAGACAGAGAATATAACAATGTATAATGTATATATATATATATATATATATATATATATATATATATATATATTATACATAAAAGTGAATAAGTCATAAGTAAGGAATTAAACAATCATTAATGACAACTAAAATGTATTTGCTTTTAAAGAGTTAGTTTTAAAGATTTTAAAGAGTTATAAACAAGATAAGAATTATTGGACATTACACTTTCTTTAATTGATTTTTTTCATCAATTTTATTAAAGTTAAGATTGAATATTTTTTTATTTTCTATTAACGAAAAGCTGTTGCAATTTTCTATTTAAATATATGTGTATTATAATATAGCAATAAGAAAACAAAATTGCAAATAGAACTAGCTTTTAACTTGGATTTATTTAAACAAGAAAAATTTATATAAATTATAGACTCTCAGGTGATCGTTATCTGATTGAATATAAATAATAGATTTTACAAAATCTACAAGTATATAATACATAAATCTACATAGACATTCAGTTTTAAATATAATAATCAGGTCACACTATTATCTTATAATACAATGTATTGATTGCTATTAAACATATGCATTTCTTTTATCTTCAAAATAAATATGACAATTATTCAAAAAATTTATTTAAAATATATCATATAATTAGTTGTATGCATTTGTGTTCAATATGTATTACAAGTTATTTTTATAATTTTTACATTTTAATAAGCTACATTATTATCATGAATCAAAAAATTTGTATTACAATATTCAAGGTCTTTATAGTTGTGCAATATATACAAAATTGAATACATTTTACTTGCAATATTGTAACAAACTTTATAAATTTGTTTACAATTTAGATTTGTAGATTATAATGTAATATTATTACATTGTAAGTGCTTTTAATTGCATAATTTATAAATGTATTTTTGTGTCATTAGTCTAATTTTTAAAATCACCATTTAAGATTATTTATCATATAAAGAATTAATATTTAACTAAACAATTTTATTTCAAAATCATAATCGTGATAATTTAAATTTAATCTAAAATATTGAAACAAAATTGAATCAACACGAAAGAGAAACAAAAATGCAATAAATTGATTGATAAATTGATTTGAACTCTTTTTTTTTTATAGGTATTGAAGGCCCAAACCTAATTGTATTTGTTTGTGAACATCACTACGATGAAATTTCAAGGGTAAGCAGAAGTTTAATTCGACTCTCGCTGCATTTCCTAATTTAAATGCAATGCCACAACCAGCTGCACAACGAATATTCTGGGTTATCATTTTTAAATGTTCTTCATAGTTATTTCCTATTAAACACAATTATTCCTTAGTTATTAAATAATTTTTATTTTCATTTAGTTTTATTTACTATAGCTTAACAAATCATATTTATTGACAATCTTTGCAAATTCAAAATTACAATAAAATTAATATAATTTTAATACGATTTACCTGTTTTTGATGAAATGTTGTAAACGTTTCCACCATTTACAAAGCCGTGTAATCTGAAGAAATCAGAAAAATTATTGTTTCGAGGAACAAATGGAAGTCTACTATAAAGATGCAATGCAATTGCCCAATAAGTATTTCCACCCACAGAATATCCTTGTTCTTTAGGTCCACAACCTCTTATATCAAATCCTCTGATATTCAGAGGACCACCAAGAAAAAATTTATCTACAATGTTTATTTTTAAGTCGTTACTCATTTCTCTCAATATACCAACTTGAGCAGATAACTGGAACGTCTGCAAAAAGTATTGAGACAAAATTGCAAATAATCATTCGAGGATGAAAAATTATAAATATGTTTATTCTTATTATAATAAAGTAACGTTTAATACGTGTCTATCCATCAATCCATCAATTAATATTTTTATAATATAAATTTAAATTCAAATATGAAACATATTTTTATTACATACAATACTTTCATGCGGTGACCAATTTGTTTGAGTAATTGCTTCACTTTTGAGAAAACCTATATTGCCTCCACAGCCTGCTACTTCCGTTGTTATCTGGAGAAGATTTCCAGTAGATGGAAATATACTTTGATCTCTTTTATCGACATTACAAATGTACCTAAAGCATGATTTTAGTGTTGGGCCACATTGCTCAAGAATTTGAAACGGTGCTTGTTTTATTGATTTTACTTCTCGCACAACTGCTTCGTATTGCAAATTTTGCTTCAAAATACCATATTCATTAACATTGAAAGCAAAATCCAATAAAAATCCTTTGTCGTTTTGTTTGTAGCCAGACCATGAATATTCTGACGATGTATCATAAATACTAGCTGTTAATCTAGTATTTTAAATATACAAATTTTAATAGTTATAGCGCAGCTTCAATTTATCGTTACTATATGATTCTCATTTCTTACACTTTTTGTAATCCTTCGGTGAAGAAGGGCTTAGTTGCGGAAATATTTATATTCGATAAATTTTTATGACCACATACATAATCAATTTGTAGTTTTTCAGCCCTTCCAAATAAATTTGGAGCTTTCGTTCCTATGTGAAGCGAAGCTTCGTTATTTCCAAACATCGTATTTATCTTGCCCATCACACGATTCAATTCACGAACTTTAAATGTTACCTAAAGACATAAATAAAGGCTAGTGTAACATTAAGGCAGTATAAAAACAACAATACAAATAAATAAACATATATGTACTTCGACTCCTTCTGGCGTAGAATCTATTCCATGACTAGTATCAATGTGCACTTCAACGGTATTAAAGCACTCTAGTGATTTTAATTTTCCTAGAACTTTGTAAGAGTTAAAAATAACATCTTCAAAATTTTTTGCTCCAAATAATTCTTTCACTTGCGATGTTAAAATATCATGCTTTGTACGATTAACTCCATCAATATGAATTTTATCTACTCTTGTCTATTAAATACAATCAATACAATTAACAGTGCATCGCTTATCAAGTCACGCAAACAAAGTATTTCTTAATAATAATAAAAAATTAATTTATCTTACTTTAATATCCTTAAAATTTGTAGATTTTGATTTGATAGTATAATCGTCTGTAAATAATTGCTCGTTATTAAATAATGTCTAAAAAACAAATGATAATCCATTAATGATTATGGGTAAAATATTTATCGACTCATTATTTTTTATTGTGAATTTTGCTTACTTCGTTTGGATCTTCCAAAATTTTCGTTTTTGATTTCATTGCGCTAGTTTTTCTTTTATCTTTTTAATACTCAATGTTGCTAAAACTAAATAGAAATATATTTCAAATATAAGATAAATAATTCAATAATTTAATACAATTCTTATAGATGTTTTGCATATAAAAAATATACACACACATATACACATACATATAATATGATAGATTATTACTATTATAATATAATAAATTACTTAACGATATTACTTATATAAAAATTTCTAATAGTGCTTAAAAATTTGTTTTGTGATATAATGTTATTGTAATTATATAAGATAATAATTAAATTTGTACGAAAACATGGTTTGTTGAGTACTTAAAGGAAAATTTCAATTAATGCTACAAATAATATTGAATACACCTGTTATGAGAGTCCAATATATAATTGGTATTAAGCTGTTATCGCTTTACTGACAATTATATAAATTATATAAATATACTAAACGATTTTAAAATATGCTATTCTTTAGCAAAAAATATTTTGAATGATTAAATTTATTTTTCAATAAATTCTTGTGACTATTTAATTTTAAACCAATAAATATAATATTACACATTAATTCTCATAAATTAAAAATTTTCAAGATGTCAGATAAATTCTTAATAAAATTAAATAGTAATAATAAACACGATAGTAAATATAGTATAAATATATGGTATCATTAATGAAAAGTAATTATTCATATTATTTATTAATTTGGTACTAATTATTTAGCCGACGCTCATATTTTATATCAAATTTGACAATATCTATAATAACTTAAGCACTATTAATAAAACAAATATAATACCATTAGTAAATGAAAGTATGACCACTGGTGAAATAATTTAATTTCCTCTAAATGATTTTATATATAAATACAATAAAAATTCATTGAAATATTATTTCCCACATTGGAAATATTGACAGGATATATATAACAAAGGTAAAAACAATCTTAATATTTATTAATTAAAAAATGTTATTTATTACAACAAGGTGGGATTTTATTGAAGTTTTTTTTTTTTTTTTTAACTGCTAGATGCACAAAAAAAGTAGTATTATTATTCAACTTACAATCAATTAGATGTTAAAATAAGCTGTATAATTTTCTAAGAAAATCGAACTAATATTAGGCTGTTACGTTACTCACATGCCAAACAAATAAAATAGGTCATCACATTATTTAAATGTTATATTATAATTCCGAGTTGTTGATACAGTAATTGAAATAATTATAGCCTTGTGCAGAAAATTCTGTATTATATTATAATAACGAGAAATCGTTAGCAAATAAAATACTTACGGTATATGTAATTATAATAAACTATTTTTGCTGAAAGCAGTACCGCACCGACTGCGTTAGACCACGGAATTTATTACTTTTCAAACAGCATTACTCAATAATGTACAACTATTTTTTATTTCTATAGGATAAAGTAACGAAATTGAATACCAACACATGCTGTTAAAAAAACAAGAAGAATATTCCTAATCCCATTACTCGTAGACACGCGTTTGGTGCTTAAAAAATATCTGCCAAACACTTAACCTCTAATATACAATTTCATACTGCTAACTCTTTTCAATGTGAGATGAAAAGCTGTTTCGATTGAGAAGATTTGCGGTAGCTGATGCAATATATAGTTGTGCGTGGAAAATTTAGCAAAATGGCTTATCCTTTGTAAATTTGTGTTTCTTTTTTTTTGAACGCGGCCCGGCGGGGGGGGGGGAGGATCTCGATTAAATCAATCACTACATTATTAAATGTGTGCCGAAACGCTTAATTTATAAATAATATTGGCATATTTCATATATATATATATATATATATATATATATATATATATATATATGTTTTGGTGCTTTGGTAATTATGTAAAAAAAAAAAAAAAAGACGAATTTCAATCATAATATTAATTAGTAGTTTAAAAAATTGTAAAAAAAAAAAAGGCTAGGCTGGAATGATTTTTTTTTTTTTAAATAACTCTCATGACGCTGTAATCGATTAAGCTTTTTCTTATCATAACTTTAACTTACTTTTACTGTACTTTTAAATAAAAGTATGACTATGACTATTTGTAATAAAAATATGATGCTCGTGCGTCGAAAAATTGTAGAAATACTGTGACACTGAATGCTTAGAAAACAAAAAGCTTATTAAACAGTTATATTTTGTTATATTGTAATATAAAGAGTATTGTAATCTTATCGGAAAATTAATTAAGTAAGAATGTTTAATTGGGAAATGTAATTAATCCATGTAGTATGTTTGTATGGAAAACTTATTATTATTTTAGTACGAAGTGTATTAGAAGGTCACGAGTTGCAAGATCAAAAACGTTTTATTAGCAATGTAAAACTTGCTTGGGCAGAACAGTAAAAAAAAAATTCATTATAATATAATATTGTAACTATATATGATAGAAATAGTTAGAAAGCTCATTATATATGTTACTATTGCTAGATACATTATATATATATATATATATATATATATATATACATATATGTATTATAAATTATTATATACACGTTTATAAATATTAATTTTACATTTATATCACTTTATGCCTGAATTCCTTTTTCAATTTCTCCAATAGAGCACAATCGTTGTCAAACTTAAACGAATCTCTTTTCTTTCTTTTCTTTCATAAAGCATATACTGAAATTACTTTTTGAAATTCCTTATGGACAAACATGAACGATTTTCATGCTAAAAGCTGAAATTAAAGGATAGCGGGGTTTTGTGTTGCTTTGCCGATGTTGTTACTACATACAATTCGTACGTTGTTGCATAAAAAAAATGGCGGCTCCGAGTGCACCGAAAGACGTTAACACGTTTCTCAGTCAAAAACAAAATGTTACTGATAAAAAATTAGTTGCAGAATGGGCGAAGCTCGAAGAACTTTATAATAAAAAGTAAGTAATGAAAAAAAAATCATTAAAATTGAATGATACCGTTAGAAACGGTGTGCTTTTGTAATCTCATTTTCCGGTGACTTGCAGACTTTGGCATCAGTTGACTCTGAAATTAGAAACTTTCGTCCTACATCCTTCTTTACAAAAGGATGAGAATTTAGTGGAATTATACAATAACTTTTTGTCTACCTTCGAAAATAAGTGAGTACAAACTATCGTTCGAACAATATAATTATGAACATAACCTTATTCCCCGCCTAGATTATGAAGTTAACTTAAGTATAAATATTAATTTAGTTAGCATTCTTATTTGTTATTTTATATTTAATTTAAAAATATTTATAATAACTATTTTCATGCAGTTCGATAATTAAGATAGATCTTTTTTACAATATTACCATTACGTTTTTTGTATTTTGTATTTCATAATAATGATAGTAATAATCGTATTTTGTTTTTAATATATCTACTCAGTGATTAGCCTGACAAATATTTTCATTATTTAATTTATATCCTTTGCTATTATAATTAAAAATATATATTATCAGTAATTTAATGTATTTATTATTTAAAATTATTATTTTTAGAATAAATCCTTTATCTTTAGTGGAAATTCTTGCCCATGTAATAAAGCAATTCAAAGATAAACGCAGTGCAATCAATTTCCTTGAAAAAACTGAACCCAAGGTCAAAAGCAATAACGAAGCAGTTGCACTTTGTAAAGTTTTAATAGGACAAATATTATTAGATGAATTGAATATTCAAGATGAGGCTAAAAAAATTATTGAGGATGTTGAAAATATGCTGGATACGACCGATGGCGTTACAACTGTTCATGGTAGATTTTATCTCTTAGCTAGCCGCTTGTATAGATTACAAGGCAAACACGCGGAATATTATAGAACAGCACTTCGGTAAATATTCTATTCCACATTGAATTATAATATGGTATTATTAATCTGCGTTAATTTATAGTATTGTTATTAATTTTAATTCCACAGGTATTTAGGTTGTATCGATTTAAGTACTTTAAACAAGTCTGAGCAAGAACAACACGCATTTTTTCTTGGCCTAGCTGCTCTTCTTGGGGAAGGTGTTTACAATCTAGGTGAGCTCTTAGCTCATCCTGTTCTAGAATCCCTCAAAGAAACACCAAACTCTTGGTTAATTGATTTATTACAAGCATTTAATGCCGGGGATATCGCTGCACTAGAAAGGCTAAAATCGCAATGGAGCAAAGTGGCCGATTTAGCAGCGCAAGAGCTAAAGCTCAGGCAAAAGATTTCTTTACTTTGCCTGATGGAAATGACTTTCAAACGGCAAGCAAATAATAGGTAAGCAACAAGAGATCATTATATAAACCATTATTCTCGTACGTTTAAGTTAATTTAACACATACATATTCCATTGGGAACTTGTATTACTTTTATTTCATAAACTCTATATTTAATCATTCTTATTTATTAATTATCTGATTATTGAATTTTTCAATCTTTAAGTTCTTAGATATATTGTTAATAATTTTTTTCACATTTTCCTTTTTTTTAGTATACTTTAATACAATTTAAATGTTAAACATATTCAATATTTTTACTTATTTGTCGTCACTAATAACCATTAAATACTTTTTTTATATAGACAATTAACCTTTGCCGAGATTTCTCAAGAAACTCATTTACCAATTGGCGAAGTAGAACTTCTGGTAATGAAAGCTCTCGCTCAAGGCCTCGTTCGGGGTGCTATCGATCAAGTATCCGGTACTGTCAATATGACGTGGGTACAACCACGAGTACTGGATTGTACACAAATTTTGGGTATGATTCAACGTTTGGAAGGCTGGTGCAAGGACGTAAACTCAATAGAAAGTCTTCTTGAAACACGTGCTACAGAAATTCTCACACTTTAATTTGCTTATTTACTTACAAATATATTTCTCACTCATTGTATTCAAGCAAGAATTTTTAATCGCCACTTTGAACAGACTTCTTACTAATTCTCTTCTTATACATACATACATACATATATATATATATATATATATATATATATATATATATATGTATTAAAAAAAAAAAAAAAATTGTCATTATTAATCGTGTATTTTGAAGCATTTTTCAATAATAAATTAACTAGAAAGGAATTTTATTTTTTTTGTGAAAAAGTATCATTTAGGATAAAAGGATTAATGGAAAATAGAATAGATATTATTTTTTTAAAAAATGCCATTATACATAGTTAGTAATGAAATAAGAATTTTTAAATATTATAATAAGATCATTGTACAAAAGTAATAAGGTACTTTTGAACAAATATATTTGTACGTTTAACCACAATCAACTGGATGGAACACGAGAGATTGTATAATATCTTTGTGTTGCAGTATGCAAAAATTAATAAAATTAATTAGAAAATGCTACATTTTATAAATGATTATTAAAGTTTATCATGTTTTTTAAATCGATTAATTTTTAAATCTTTTTAAAGCACATTATACAGAACAGATATAAATGAATTATTACGTTTGAAAATAAAAAATTTTCATCTTTTATTAAAAAATTTAATTCATTATTAAAATGTGATAAAGTCTGATTCGTAGTTTTTTTAATTGATTTTCCTTGTCTGAAGTAAAGAAAAAAAAAAATCTTCAAAGTATTGTGAATGCAACAGCGAGCAATCCGAATCATCCATTAATTTAATAAGATACAGAAAATATCTTACGACATTACAAATGATTATAAACATGTTTCACCATGTAAATTAATTGTGTCTTAATTTTGCTTCCACTGTATTTTCACGATTAAAAACCACTAATTTATTTCGTATTTCACCCAACTATATTGATTTATATACGTTATAAAAATAAGAATTCATAGATATTTACGCCCCCTCCCTCCCTCTTGTTTTTTTTCATTTAATTATACGAGATCTATAAATTCTTAATATAAATACTATAAATGTACTTGTAAATAGAAGGATTAATATTTTTTATAAGGTTTCTTATTCTAATATATTTAATTAGTAGGTATTTCACATTAAATTTTCAGATAAATGTTTAACAAAAATATTATTAAAAAGTCTTTCTTAATCAGTAATTTACAAATAGTATTTCTTAGTTAAACTTATGTACAAGATTTAAATTCGCATTTCCTTCATTTTTGATTTTGATACCGAATGAACATACACCAAAATCCTTTTATTCAATAAAACATTTTGCAGAATTTTGTACTTATGATTATTAACAAATTTTTTAAACATAATCTATGTACTCTTATGTTAATAGATATTTTACAGACATTCGTTGTTTCACTGCTTTCTCAACGAATATTTTACCATACAATAATATCTTTTTAATTCCCCGTGTGAATATTGTAAGGAAAGTGTATTGGATTATGAAATTTTATGAAAATAAAGGTAAATCGGTTTAATGATGATGTCCCGTCGTAATGAGTGCAGGCAAAAACGAGCCTATGACCAAGGCTACAATTTCCTTGAATTTCAAACCAAAAGAAGGTGATGTAGCGATGTCGGTTGGTAAATGAGAATAAGTTTTACTGTTTCTAGTCATCAGTTCTGGCAGTACGTGTACGGTTGCGACATACAAAAATGTTCCAGCGCTAAATAACATTGCTAATCCAGTAGCATTTACACTGCTAAGGGTTTCTTTGCCCTCCTGAAAATAATTATTAACTATTACAAACAATAGTATAATGTATGCGCTGCATCTTGACGTTCAATGCTTTAGTAATAATTATAAAGACAATAATACTTATAAAAATTAAGTTTTACCTTTCCAATTCCAAAATATGTAATTAAAGCCAAGCATGGAGCAGATAATGAAAATATTAACAGGTGCCTCTGTATTCTCTTTCTTTCTACACCTTCGTGAAGAAGAAATGACACGAGTCCAAATGCGGCCGGAGCCTAAAAATAATTTAATTCATACATTATAATATTCATTGGATGATTAAAATAAATTATGATTAAGAAGTATACACAATTATTTTAGCTTTTGGCTCAAAGACAGTGTGTTGTTTCTTTAAAAAATTCCAACGGTAAATACAAGTGGTTATTTATCCGAGGCAAATTGATGATTAAGTAATGCAAGTATCTATAATGTGTTAGGCAATGTTCTGTTGCAGTACTACGCTGGTATAAAGGAAGAAATAAATGAAAGGATAGGGATTTGTTATGAAAGATCTATTGTAAAATATAAGCAATGGATGAAAATCTATAAATACTAACTTTATGCAACATAATTGCCAAAAAGACAATAGCCTCGACATCAGCCTGCGACGTCGTCGCCGCGGCTCCTAAAGCAACGCCGTCGGCTGCTGCATGAACCACGAGACCTAGCGTGGCCGTCATACTTCTTTCTTGGCCGCCGCTTCTTTTTGTCGAACATTGATCGATCAATAGCATGAATATAAAGCCGAGCACCAGGCTCAGTCCTATTAAACTGTGAAGATCGGCTGAAAACGAAGGCACGTATGTGTATCTGAGATTACGAAGAGAACATTACAAGGATTTAGATATTTCGTAAGGTTGCAAGCTGTCATGATAAAGACTGACTTACAACCTCAAAGCGATATGAAGATAAGAATGTCGAATATAAATTTTTATGTCAAAATTATTTAAGTAAATTAAAATTTACTACGACAGTCTATTTTCAATTAAAACAATTATTTTATATTTTAGTTAAATTTCTAGTAAATTTCTAGTAGAGGGAATTTAATATAAAATTACCCTGCGCATCCTTATCGATATCGTGCGTAGGTGTTGCAGTATTTACAGCGCCACTGAATAATGCCCTAATGCCTTCAGGAATAATCACAGCCAATGCAGTTCCAACGAGAAGTCCAGCACCAAGAACCGATACTAACTGCAATTTGTCCTGTGTAAAAGCGAACAATTTTTTTTATTTATGACCTAAGTAAAAAAAATATGTTTTATTATTATGCTAAATATTATCGTTTCATATATATATATATAAGAGTTGAAATTATTACACAAGGGAATGTGCGATATTTTTATTTTTTAAAATTGACATTCTAGAAATACCAAATATGCAGCTACATACTTTTATGTTTGAGCACAGTCATTTTTTCCACTAATTTATTCGGTATATGCAAGCATTAATTAAAATTAATACGAGAGATAAAAATATAAGAGGCTCCTCAGCATGTAATGTCTTGAATTTCTTATCGAATTAACAATTGGTTAACGCACAAAATCACTAAATCACTCGCATTATTTTTCCGTTTCGTTGCACTATAGAAATACAAGGTAATTCAATTTCGACGATTATTTCACCATAAAATCAATACTTGTAATTTATCACGACTCTCCTTCTTAAATGATCATTAATAATAAATAATAATAATAATGAGGAAACGCGATAGAGCGGACACGCGTCATTTAAATTGAGCGTATGGAGGATTAAATGAGGATAGGTTATGTTGGCTAAAATGAACAATTCATAATGGAAACAAGTAACCTACACGCAAACTTACCTCTGACAAATTCATAACAAGTGGCAAAGAACCAGCCAAATAGGAACCTCCCAGCATCACCAGTACCAGCGTCCACAGCACCGTCGTCTCATCCATCATTTCAAATGCTACCTACAGCCTATTTTAATCCCTCACTCCCCGGGCACTGGGCTCGTACAGCGGCTTAATTTTATATCAGCAAGCATTAAAATCACAAAAACAAACAGGCTCTCATAATCTCCACACAAAAACCGCCTAAAACTACCTCATGATTACGACAGCTCGAAATCGCCCGGTTATACCGATCATAATTCTCCGCATCGAACGATATTTAGAGGACGATCTAACGATTACCATTTACCGCCGTAATGCTCTTCGTCACGGCTGTTTCAACTCTGATCTCTCCAATCTTTTATTTATACAGTGCATACCAACGCGCGACCGATACCAATAATATAATACGACTGTCGATGGAACTATTAACTAAATCCCGAAGCCTTCCTTAATCCGTGTTTGTTTCAATATGTGTGCGCGGCGCACAGGCGCATGCTACAGTGGAGAGCGCATTTGCAATAAATTGCTTTCATACTTTCACTCGGTAGCGCTCCTTCAAGTCCTTCCCGTTACAAGCTTTCGTCAAATGTCCATTCGCAATTATAAAATGAAAAGAGGGATAGAGAAGATTTTGTAAACCGCACGAGGCTGCAAGATCTGTGTATGTATCGGCGGATCTTTCATCTATTCAAATATCATGGCTTATCAACTTTTAAACGGGGCTTCAACCTTACATTAAAAGTAATTTGACGTGTATTTCTTGCACGCACGAGGTTGAAAAACCAAAATAAAACAAAAACAAAAAAAAAAAACAAAAAAAATAAACAAAAAAAAATGCACGTCAACGATCTCGAATAAAAACACGCGCGTATACCAGCAAATGCAATCTGACAAATTCAGCATTAACCAAATAAATGTTAAAAATTAAATAAAATAAAGTGCAATAGCGCGCTACATTTAACGAAAGCTTAGAATTAATAGAATGAAATGAGAATTATCGATTAATTACGAAATCAGCAATGAAGCAACGAGAAGAAAGCATCGCGCAACTAATTTTCTTACGCAAATAAGGAAGCAAAGGCATTATTTATCAAGATTTATCGTCGCGCCATCGAGTTCTTATACATTCTATTTAATTTAAACGTAAAAATGTTTAAAATTACTTAATATTAAGATTGTTAATTAAATTTCACAAGCTTAACTGGAATAATTGCTATTTTTTCAGTCTTTTACCTTATTTAGATTTTAAATATTTATAGAGCATTAAAGCAAACGTTTTAGAGGCTAAAAAGTGAAATCAGAAAGTAAACTGTAATTTCCTTTAAATTATATCGTATATTGTTTTTAACGCATTTTCTGCGGGCATTGAAGATCTTATCGCAAGCATGCATACACGCACGTACGCGCGCGCGCGCACACCCACAAAAAAAATTGGCATGCAAAATTCATCTATTCAGTTCTAAGCGAAAATTTTAAAACAGAGCGTATATTATAATGTAAAACTATTTTCATTATTTAAACAAATACTTAATTTTTCATATTATTAACAAACACCGACTAATTTATGTTTATCTTTGGCGCAATTGCATTCACATTTTGAATGTAAGTTTTTACGTGGAAGAAAACTATCATACCGACGACTATAAAAATTAACCAAAATTATTAAATGTTATCAATCATATTGTTTATGATAGCCGTTCGATGGGCATCTTTATCATTAATAATAACAGTGATAAAATTGATCCAACTGATCCAATCCCTATTAAGCAAATAGTGGACAAAGATTTATAAGACGTTGACTAAATCAAAAGTACCGAAAATTAAAATAATAAAAACAATCGTTTAACACGATTTGTCATGAATATTATAGATGGTTCGCAATATTTTCTATAACTTGAGTAATTTGAGTATGTTTTCTGAAAATGCATAGGAACATGAATAGGAAAATCTATTAAAAAGTAACATATTTTAGCAAATATTTAGAAGTCGCAGAACAAAAATAATTATAAAATAAATAATAACGGGAACATTTAGAATATGACATTAATATGTAGGATATCAATGTTGCAAAATAAAATGGTATTTCAGTACGGAAATTTGATAAGAAAATATCAAAGAAATTATTACTTATGAATATTTAAAACTGATTAAATACAAAAGAGAAATACATTGTACTATTTTAAATAGAACTTTAAACATTTTAAATTAATTCAACTAAATAAATAGTAATAGAGTGCTAGAATGTCAAGTGAGTTTGTTATAAAAAAAAAAATATATATATATATATATATATATATATATATATATATATATTTACACCGCAATCATTAAAAGCTATTGCATATATGTTTTTTTTTTTTTTATTATAAATAATAAAAGTATTAAATTTATTCAACTGTAACAAAGGTTTCTTATGTATTTACTTCCGATAAGTCGTTTCAATTGATAACCATGACCAAATAACATATATGATCGATGATTGAAATTTGCTTTTTATTTAAATAACTAAATTCGAATTCATTACGTAATTATATTAGGAACTTTATAATTGCATTCATGCCCATAAGAATATAAATATTTTACAATTTTTTTATGCCAAGTTGAACAATAATTTAATGTTTACAAATTATTTCCTATTCACAATTAAACGTGCGGTGTTTTTGTGAAACGACAATGTAAAAAGACAAAACATTGAATATGCAATTGCTTATTATAATCTTAAATATAAAACTTAATTCTCGTGTGCAGATAAAAGGAGTTACGACCATTTAAAAGCCTAGAGATTATTAAGTAAATTTTAAGAATTTTTAAATGTAAAAATAAAAGATTAATACAACATCTAATTAATTTGACTTTATATCCCTATAAATCTACATAATAATGTTTGTATTCTAATTGTCTCAGCATGGCAGTTGCATCAGTATTTTAGGAATATAAGGCACTTATTATTTATTTATTTTTTTTTAACTATGCTTCGCAACGCTCTGTAGATGATATTTTCCTTTCGTGTTAAGTAAATGAAAATTAAATAATTTTCTATAACCGTATGAAACTTACAGAAAAAAAACTCATACAAGATCCGTGTTAAACTAAAAAAGAAGAAAAAAATGAAATTTAGTAAATAAGAAATAAGAATTATTTAAACAATTTTGTCACAATTCGCAGCGAATCAACTAACAATTACTCAAAATTGATCCAATTTTAAGAACAGTTTAAAGTAAAACGCTTCAAAGTATTTTAGGTGTCCATATTTCTCCACCGCGTTGCATTTAGTAATAATTACTTCAAAGTGGTACATTATTTTTTATATCTAACATCTTTAAATTCATGATTTGTTTAAAAAAAAAAAAAAAAAAAAAAAAAAAAAAAAAAAAAAAAAAAAAAACACGGATATCGTGCATTTATTATTTATGCTTTTTCAAATATATTTTTGATAGAAATTTTTACCCGATTACTTCTTTTAATGATCGATGCTCGAAGTATTGTATAAAATTTCACATATAATCACTATTATGTGATTTTACAGAATTGATTAAATTTCTTTAAAATATTTACTATATCGTCGATTTGATTCAATACATTTGAATAAATAGGTCCGAATTTTATATCGATTTCTAATGATCAATCAACTATTTCATTTCAACGATTACTTCTGAAAATTACAATTAAGTTAAGCACAAGTTTTAATGCATTTAATGATAGGATTTGAAAGAACCGCCTCGAAAATTATAAAATTATTAGATAAATGATAATACGAGTGTTAGGGAAATTCGAAGAAAAATGACCAAAATATAGAATATCTGTATTTACTTCATTCTTCAGTTTCTCTTCATATAAATTGACTAACTTAACGTTACCATTCAGCTTCGACGATAGTATAATGTTTAATGCACTAAATAATAAATCGTTGTTCGAGAAAATCCATTTTTTCTGTATCACGAACACAATTTTGCATATTCATTAAGTTGCAATTGGATGACAAGACACTGGGACAGAGTGCACAAATCTCTTCCTACTCACCAATTTGTATAGCCAATAGATAAAAAGTAATAAATGCAATGCAACGATACAACTAAGAATTATTATTTCATATTTCATAAATGGAAATATAAATGACAAGAAAAAAAATCATGACAATGTACAAAAAGCGTCCTCTTATCGATTTATGAAGTTCTAGAAAAATTTCGCACTGCTATAACAATAGGCCAAGTTTGCCACATTCTTAAATTTTTTTATTTTTTTATTTTTTATTTATAACTCCTCTCGACGTGTCAACAAAACCACTTTTTCTTTGCAAGACATTTACTGCTCTTAAACGGGCATAGTCGTCTTAATTTGTCGAAAAAATCAATGACGTTCCAGACATTAGTTGTCTGAATATTCATTAATTGTAGTAAAAACTAAAAAGTAAATTTATTACTGGTTTGTGTTAATGATTCTTCGATAGATCTATCATTAGTTTTTCGTCACAATGGTGAGTCCAAGCTATTTTCATTCTAGGACGTTATATGATATTGCTCTGTGTGAAAATTTTTATTTAAATAATTGATCAACTCTGCAGATATCTTGGGGCATTTTTATTATAATTTTATATTTCATACTTCTAAATATATATATATATATATATAGATATAGATATATATATATATATATATATATATATATATATATATATATATATATGTGCGTGTGTGTTTAGAAATATATTTAATAATGAATTGGCGAACATTCATCATTAAATTCAACGTATTTTTTCGAATGAAAAAGAATAAAACCTACTTTAAACACAAATAATCTTTACAATTATTAAGAAAATATGGCTTTAAGCAATTTTTTGGTGAAACAAACATCAGCATGACTTCTTTTTTTTTTGTTTTTTTTTTGTTTTTGTTTTTTGTTTTTGTTCTTTTTATAATAAACTAATAAAAAATTTTAATAAACACAAAGTTTAAAGGTACACAGTTGAGCTTATTAAGTGTTTTCCTCAATGTACAATTTCGACGAATCTTTGAACTTAAGAATCGATTTGTAAAACTTACAAAACAATACACAGTTGAGATCCTCGCACTGTTTCCATATAAATTTCATACACTTATGTAATAATAATTATCACTTATATACTTCCGTGACAGCGAGCTCGAAAGTTATCTAAGCAAATCGATGAAAAATCGTAAAATCTTGTACGATCTTATTTCTTACGTAGTGTGTTTACATGATACATATGTGTTTGCGTCTTTTATGTATTGGTGTAGAAACGAACGTTGTCAGGGTTCAAGTCCTTATTTCAATTTCTTTCGAAAATATACCGTATACAATATTTTACTTCACTTATAAATATATACAGTCGTGAATAACGAACCACGCACTTGGGACACATCATAAAATTTGACATGAAAAACCGAGCAGTGCGCGAAAATGTCTGCCATTGTAAATGGATAATAGATCTCTAACGTTTAGATAATTAAAAGTTTAGTTTTAAAAATTCAACACTTTTAAAAACCTAAGTATGCATTTTTATATATTAAATTTTTAAATCTGAACTTTTCGTGCATCATTATGTCATATTCTATTCTTTTCTTTTCTTTTCTTTTCTTTTTTTCTCTTTCTATTTATTTCGCATAAGAGTTCGATTCTCATTCTGCATATTATTCGTTAAATCTCGAGTCTTGCATAACTGGGTTTTGCTGCTTTTCTTGCCTCACCTTTTATCTAAGCGTAGAGATTAATACCCGATTTAATTAACGAATCATTTAAAGTAATCATTAGTTTGTTTGTTTGTTTTTTCTCTCAGTATTCTCCTGTCCTCATATAGTCACTCGCTATAGTTTGTAAATATGTACACTGTTTGAGTCGATAATCAAAGGTTACCAAATTTGATAATGGGGCACATTAGGGAGATCAAGCTGGCGAGGGGGGCTAGTCGGCGTAAACGATGAACTGCTGATTATCCACATCGGCAACCTCAACTTGAACAAATTGCGGCTGCTGTAGTTGGATTTGTTGCACTTGACGACCAATTGCATTTCGTGTTCTGAAAGTGAAATAATCATTTTTTAAAAATTGAGTTAGATCAACGACATCCAGGGCTATCCTTTATGATACAATGACTAATGGCTTGACATTAACGTACTAAGAAAATCAAAATTGTAAAATTACAGCAAATTTAAAATAATCCATAATAAACACAACGTTGCGTATCGCTAATACCCCATCAATAAGCATCAAAGTCTTTACTTATAACAATGCTCATTCAATGTTTTATTAAAAATATCAACAACACATCAAAGTTTGAAAGAATGATATTTTTCATTTAAGTTAGCGTTTTGGTAATGGATAACCCTGTTATTTTACAGTTATATGATAATAACATACTTGGCCTTTGCATGTGTTAATATGTGCGATTTCAAATTTGTCGACTGAGCAAACTTTTTGCTGCAGCCATCAAAGGGACATACATATGGTCTATCACCAGTGTGAATTCTTACATGAGTTCGTAAGTTGAAGTCCAAACTAAATCTCTTTCCACAACCTTCAAATGTACACTGGAATGGCTTTTCTCCAGTGTGAACCAATTGATGCCTTTTTAATTTAGAACTTTCGACAAAGGCTTTTCCACATTCGGCGCACACGTGAACTCTGCGAACATAACATTGACATTCATGATAATCGTGTATTTTCAATTACAAAATTCCCACTCGATCATTTATCACGGGCCTACTATATTACACTATATTTCTATCGATAATATTGCAATATTAAAATTAATTACTATTTATAAATTATTCAATGCTTCAAGGTCCATTCAATATTTGTACGAAGACATTGCAATTATTATGGATGAACTTGACAGAAGACAAAATTAATACGCTTTAACTTGTCTTGCAGTTTTTTTTTTGTGGATAAGCGCTCCCACGAACGACTTGAATGAAACATGGCGATTAACGATCGTATTTATTAAAAATTCCATGAAATATTTCGTAAGCTACTTATAAATGATGATTTATATATTTTCTTACATAGTTTAAGTATATTTATTATTTTTTTATTTTTTTTTTTTTTTTTCTGTCATAAATATAATAAAAATTGATTACGAACCTTGGACCGTGAGTGTGCAGGTGTTTGCGCATTGCACTATTATCTCTAAACATTTTTGTACAGCCCTTATGCGGACAGGCAATTGTACGCTCAACACCATCAATAATAGGTGGTTTGCGAACTTTCAGTTTGTGACCAGGTCTAGCAAATTCTGCTAGTTGTTTAGGATCTGATAGATCCAAACCTGGCATGCCGTCGGAAACAGAACTGCCAGAATGATTCAATTTCGACGTTGATTTACCAGTCATATATTCTGTGTAGTCTGGATCAGGCTCGGGGTTAGAGCCTTCATCTGGAACATCCACCAGGTGAGACGCTAATAGGACACTTCCTTTAACAGCAACAAACAAGCAAACCAAAACAAATACTACCGCAGTTTCATTTATGCAAGCTTATTTATTTATTTTATTTTATTGTTGTAACTCTTAATGGTGAATTTATATGAAAATAATTTTTGATTGGTAAGCGAGTTTATGCTTAAGATAGTTTGATCGAATTATTTCGTTCGAGTAACATTAATCAAGCTGCAATGCTCTTTTTCTATTCGCCTCATTTCATCTTTAATATTTAAGTAAATTTAATCAAAATTAATATTAAGGTATGAAAAGGTATTGACATACCTATCAAATACACAGAAATTTATATTCTATTTATTCATTAAGTAGTAGTAATGTAGATCCTAATAGATTACAAATTAAATTTGATCAAACTATCCTAAATTTATTGTCAATAATTTGTTCTGTTGAAAAGAAAGTATGCAAATAATTATTGAAAATTGAAAGTATGAAATTTTGAACATTTTTAAAAAATCTGTTTTTGTTAATTAATTATTTGTTTAAAAACATAATTCAGTTTAAGATTTCAGAATGAAATATTGAAAATTCATTTAAATACTTTCACGCTACTTTCCCTTTTTACTTTGTTTTATATTATCGCAACATTATCATTGCGATCGTGTGTGTTTGTGCGCGCGCGCGCATAACAATGCACGTATACATGGTGTGCGCATGTATGCATTGCGCGCACAGAACGTGCGCACATTCGATATAATACATAATTTAAATAAAAAAATTTTTTTTCAGATAAGGCATATTGAAATATCCGTAGGTAATATTGCATAATCATTTCAATAATGTAGGTAAGCGATACAATTTTTTTTAACCCATTTATCCCTTAGGAAAAATACGGCATATTTATAATGCTCATATTGCGGCCGAATCGTCAAACCATGGTATAATAAGAATGCAGGTTTATTTAATTAAAAGTAAATATGTGTCCTATTTTTTTAATTGCTGAAATAAGAGAAATGTAAAAAAAAATAGTAATAGGAAAAAAATTAAGTAATAAATTGGAAAGTGTAATAAAAAAAAAAGTAGTTTATATAAATATATACGTTGTTGGACAGAAATAGTTTCAAAAGCTACGAATAAAAGAGCGTTAGATTCGCCATAAATTACGGTACAATAGATTTCAAAGATTGCCGAAACCAAACTGAAAAACAGTCGGAATAAAATAAAAAGCGAATGAAATCGAAAATTTATAACAAAAAGCCTCGGGCAGGACGTGGCAACGTTGCGTTTGCGTTCTACCTTTAGCTACCACCACATTTCCAGTCAAGTATGTCTGCTAATGCCCCTTTTACATTATCGTTTAGGCTACAAGGCGAAAGGATAAACGAACGTATGTAAAAAGCTCGGAGTTAACGGTAGTACGTTGCAATTAATAAACCGTTTGCCCATCCCAATTGATAATTTACAGCTCGATTGCATAAGCCGTACGTATAATCGTACGTATAAACAAGATGTTTATAAAAGCGTAAGAGGGTCGGTCGTGGTTTTTCAGTCTGGCGGGACGCCATGACACATTCTCTTTACAGAAAATATGGCGACGACGACGTGCCGAGCGAAAGCTCCCCTCGACAGACCGAGAGAAGCCATTTTCAAAATATGGCTGCCCCCCTGAATATTGCAATGGCCGCGATCGCCTGCACAACACACGGGGCACACCGGATCAAAACAAACAAGCGCCGACTGTCAACGATGAAGCTCGCGTAGTCAACTCGTCCGACTCCTTTTTTCGCGATTAGAAACGTCGTCGTTGAAAAGAAAGCGTGGAAACGTGCGCGCAGATCGATGTCAACCGGAAGTGCGTGCACACGCGAGCGAACGAACGAACGAACGAACGAACGAACGAACGAACGAACGAACGAACGAACGAACGAACGAGCGAGCGAGCGAGCGAGCGAGCGCGCGCACGCCTGAACATTAAATAGGAATATGTTTTGTGCGTGCGTGCGCGCGCGAGAAAGCGATACATATATATATATATATATATAGAGATAGAGAGAGAGAGAGAGAGAGAGAGAGAGAGAGAGAGAAAGAGCAAGAAAGAGCAAGAGCACAGAGTTACGCGCACACACTCATCCACGCACGCACAGGGGCTATCGCACGTAATAATCGCTCGTTTGCGTAAAGCCAAAGAGCTTTCCGTTTGTCTATCGCCGCATTCCGGTCTCTCGCCCAACGCGGCGACGACCTCATCAACGATCCCAGCAAACACATCAAAGTTCCCGGATCGAGGCGTTCCACCCCCTTTCAAGACACCTCCTAAACACCAAACGCCGCCCCCGCATTCACCCACCACGTTCCTCGGCCCCGTGCCCACGACGGAACCGACGTTACAAATCCACAATATAACGTTCACAACGGCGCGAGCATTTCAGGGCTGAAAATCGCATCAGCTGCTTAGGCACTGTCGCTTTCGATTGACAGCTGCTGCTGTTTCTTCGTCTGAAAAACCACACACTTCCGACACACGGACGCACCACCAATTCGCGAACGTCTGCTAGCGCACGCGATATATAGCATAGGACAAGGAGGTTGGGAGCTGACGAGCGCCGGGCCCCAGCGCCCGGGCAGGGCCGTCACTCGTAGTCACTGTCAAATCGTCACTGCGACGGATGGCCCTCGTACCTGGAACCCTTGAGCCCGCTTAGCAGGTCAAAGGGAGAGAGGGGCCGTAAAGGGGAGGTCAGGGCTCACGCGGCCACGTCCTCGCGGTCCACGAGGTATCGCTTAACCTTTCTCTCGGTTTCCGGACGAGGCGGCCTCGAGGGCCGGGCATCTGAATCCAGATAAAGAGAGGAGAGAGAGAGATAGAGAGGCAAGTGGGAAGAACTCACCATCGTCGGTTCCTGATGCCCACATCGTCACCGAGAACTCCCCCTCGAGGGTCTTTATTTGCACCTGTTTCTGTTCCCATTTCCTCGCCTTCGTTTCGCTCGGCATCTCCGTGAATATCGCGTGTTCCTGCGGCCTGAAGCGCTGCGTCGCCGTCGAGCCCGCGCTCTTCCTCGCCTTCTTTTTCGTTATCGTCCTCGAGGGTCCCGGGCTCGACTCCACGTAGATGTCACTCTGGTCGGGCACCGGGATCTGGTCGTAGACACTGAGCGGGTCCCCGCCGACAATCTCCTCCTGCGTCTGGAGGATTATCTCTTCCTCGCGTCCCGCCTCGGGCAACGCTTGGAGGGTAATCATGGCCTGGTGGTGCTGATGATGCTGCTGGTGCTGTTGCACCTCCTCGTCCTCGGACTCGACGATCGTCGTCTCGACCGTCTCGCACGGTATCTCTACGGGTATCGACTCAATCTCCACTTCCTGGATGTCCGGCTGGATCTCGACCTCGGTTATCATATCCGAGGACGCCATATTAATGTCGCCTGCCGACGCCATGTTTGACTTGGCGCGAGGGCCCCACAAATATGGCTGCGCCTGCCTCAATATAATCGAGACCGCCAGCCGCAGCAGTGGCCGATTCTCTCTCTCTCTCTCTCTCTCTCTCCCTCTCTCTCTCTCTCCCCCTCCCTCTCTGACGGCCTCCTAGCACGCCGACAATGCGCGTGTGTTTGTGCGTTCGTGTCAATCGGGTTTGGTAGGGGGATGGTGGAGGTGGTGGTGGCGACGGCGGCGTCGGCGGCGGCGACACCGAGAGAGCGCGACAAAGACTTTCAAAATAACGTGGTGGCTCGCGCCGGGCTGCTGCCCGAGAGCGGCTCGAGAGAAAAGAAAGAGAGACGGAGAAGATAGGCCAAGATGGGGGGAAAAACATGCGAGCAGCGCCCCGTGGTGCATTTGACAAGTGAAGGGCGCATGCGCGAGGCACAACCGACGACTCGCCGATTTCGCACATTGCGACGGTACTTGTTGCTAATATGTTTAAAAGATTAATGCATTGTTGTTAGTAGCGCTGACAGGTATATTTGTGTGTGTGTGTGTGTGTGTGTGTGCGCGCGCGCGCGCGCAGCTGTCCTCGACGATTATGTTGATTAATTATGTGCAGGTTCGAGCGTCGAGTCGCCCTCGGGCTCTGCCAATGATTATTGTCAGCGTTGTCGATCCTCTCACGCTCTTGGCCGAAAAATTTAAATTTTCGTGAGCGTAAAGCCAGGTATTATTAATTTGTCGTCGGCGGTGCTCGGTCGGCGACTCGAAACTGTGCTTGTCGATTATTGTCGTAACGTTGGACCTCCAGTGCGTAGTACGTCGCTAACGGCACGTTAAGAAATCATCGTTTGCCTTTGCTGAATTAGAGTGAAAGATACCCTTTATCCATAAGAGGATAAAAGACGGTAAAGAAAAATTGTGATTGCTTTACTTATTGCATATGAGTTACCAATTTACTTATTATTTAATCAATCGTTCGCGTGTCTTATGTCCTTAGGTTTCAGGTCTATCCATTATGGAGGTGTACTATTTACTAATACGATTCTACGTTTATGTTCACAGGTCATGGATGACTTGGAGGAAATGCTAAAGCTGTATCCTGAAATGATTCTTATCTCGAGGTCACCGCCTACTTGGAAGGGACTTCTATCGATCAAAAATGGCTGCATAAACTGCGAAATGAAAGTTAAAGTGAAACTAGCAGCCCCGTCATTTCCACGACTCGATAATGCCTCGATACATTTTGGAGGAAGTATCGCATATTTGTTTGGCGCAAGATTCAAGAATCTGATAGATTCGATAATGAAAACGTCGGAATCTGTACCTTGTTTTTTTCAAGAATTAACAGAAATCATTGTATGCGTGTGTTGTATTTTAAAATTGTTCCTAAAATCATCGACATTTCATAACGATTGATCGTGATTTTTGTTCGACAGGAAAATCTTGTAAATGAAAATCAAGACAGGGAAAATTCCATTGGATCCATGGACACGACTGCTAGAGAAAAACTATTGAAAGAACTCGATAATGTCTTATCGGAATACTCGGTAAGATTTCAATGTAACGACAAATTTATTGTTCTAATTCGTCGCTGAAATTCATACGTTCGAACATGGTTTTATATAGTGCGTGGATTTTTCATCTACCAAAAATCTAAACGCCATTAAGCTCACTATGAACGATGTTTCGATAATTGTCAAGCCGGTGGTTAATTCGGTGGGTAAGCAGTCGTGGAAGATATGTTCCTCAGACCTACCCGAATTACCCGACTTTATTATCAATGAAAAGAAAAGTTGGTCGCTGAGAGAAATTGGAAATATGTTTCAAAAGCAAGTGGATATATTGGAAGATACTTGGGGGCAATTACGTAGGATCGACAAGTAATTCATAATTGCCATTCGATCGTTGTTTGCTAAAACTTTAGAGATACAAAATTGTACAAAATACGAAATTAGTTTAGTTATTGTTATGTTACAGATCCAGTCGAACCAAAACCGTATCATCTTTATCGTAGAATTTATTTATCACCATCGCTATCCTGTTTGATAACGATTAATCCACTGGATCCAACTGGATATCCAATGATAAAGTTGCTTGGAGTCCAAAATGAGGTCGATAAGTTTAGGAATTTAATACAAGACGAAGGCACTATTGACGTATATTATCAGTATTTTGTTTTTTAAAATTTCGCATTATTATTTGGCGTTGAAAAATATTAAAATGTCGATTATATTATAGAGCTGGGATATAGAATGCAGTGTATATGAAAATCTTTTAACTTTGTTAAAAATCGATGAATTTCCTGGGCGACCGAAGAGCCACGAGTCGATAGAAGAAGGTGTGGTTGGTGACGAAGAATGTTGTATATGCTTTTCAATGGAATTAGAAGATAATTCGCTGCCCGATGAAATTTGTAATAATGAAAAATGTAGACGTCATTTTCATTCCATCTGCTTATTTCAAGTATACGATCATGCACATTAAAATAATTATCGTAAAAATTATTTCCCCAAATTTTAACTCAAATCATTTTTTTTTTTAGTGGCTGCAAGAGCTCGTTACCAATAAAATAGTATTTAACAAAATTTTTGGTTCGTGTCCTAATTGTGGAGAGGAGGCATCTTGCAACATTCCATCTACATAATTTTATATGTTTATGCAAATGAAATGATAAAGTAATATTTATAATCAAGAGAAGCAACAGATTCATTTATAATCTTTGATGATGGTGAATTTTAAGTAACTTTTTACGGAACTAAAAGTTATCGTTGAAGTTAGCGTGAATGCCTGTGAAAATGCCTTAGTCCTAGATTTCGCGGTCAAAACACGAAGATATAAAATATCTGTATGATTAAGAATTATTAATTTAAAATTGTATAAGTAAATTCGAATAATTGTTAATTATAATTATATATAGAAAAAATAAGATACTGTATTATTATGTATTTATTGACTGTAATCGGATGAAAAAGATTATTGATGTTTATAAATATTTGTACATAAATGAAATGCACGTGCGAGCATTTTAATTAAAATTAAAAATAATCGCCTAATAGAAGACATAGATTTTCTAAAAGCATGTATATAAACAATTTTTACAAATTTAAATTTGCCTTTTATTTAACGAATATTCTTCAAACGTGTCGTTACAAACAAATTCAAACAAATTCTGAAGCATCATTTGAGTTGATTCGATTTAAAATTCAGAATTTTGGTCAATTTATTCATTGGCCTTTATTTACAATAACATTTTCTGATTATAAATTCGAAATTAAATTTGTGTTTAAGCTACAGTATTATCATTTTTTCGAATTACAAAACTGTTTAATGTTTTTTACATTTATAAATATTGATTCCTAATTAAATAAATACAAGTATTTTTAAGTTAATTTTTTAAATAATTTTATATTTTTGTATTGTCATTAAATATTATAATGTATGTATGTATTAATTTGTAATCTTGAATATTAAATGCATATAGCTCTATCAGTAATGTAATAATAATTTTACGTCAAGTTTAGAGTTCATTATTACTTTTCCAACATCTAATAATGTAATATTATTTTGCAAAAGATTAAAATAATAATATAAAATACGTTATGTAGGCCGGCAATTTATTAGTTACAATAATGCATCAATTTTTTATTTTTTTTATGGAGACTTAAATAAAAAAGATAGATACGAAGTTTGAGCAAATTGTAAAAAAATGCATTTTTCAATATATAAGAATATACAAGAATTATGAAATCCAAAGCAGAAAGACAACAATGTTAGTACCTAACTGTAGATAGCACAGGTTATATATATATATATATATATATATATGCATACGCGCGCGCGTGTGTGTGTGTTCGTGTGTGTTCGTGTGTATGCATAGGCACACAACTACACGTAGTTGTGAATAATTTTTCATTTTTTTACATATATATGATGTCAATAAAATTTGTTGTATTAAATGACTGTCTAGTTTTTTTTATTTTTATTATGCATATGTAATATAGTTTTAATTTCATAAAGATTTTATTCTATGGCTGTATATGTTTAAAAATTTTCAAACATGTAACAAATTTACATTTGATTGAATTTTGCTTGTAATATCGGAAACACTATGTCAAATAATTTTCTATTGACCTTTACTTATTTACATAGCAAAGAACTATTTGTTTGAAAAGCTAAATAATATCGCATGTTGAGTATGGATTAACAAAGTCAAAGATTATATAAAACGTGGCTACATATATTTGCGAAAGTAAAGAAAATTTAATAATAATATTAGTATTCCAATGATTTCATACTTTTATAAATGAAAAGTGAATGCAATGTAAAAAAAAAATATGGAAAATTCAATTGAAATAAACATAAATAATATAAATTTATATTTGCGTTTTAATCGAAAAATTGTTACTTTTCTTTATTGTACATTGAAACTTTAAGATTTTTTTTTTTTTGTAACAAATAATTATATTAAATAAATGATCGATTGGTTAATATAATATTTTGCATTTAAAGACTTAAATTGTTTAAATTTGACTAGATTAAAAAATTATACACAATTTAAATTAATTAATCAATATTGATTAATAGAAAATTGTAAAATTACTTATTATCTAAATACATGATAGTGACAAAAATCTTTCTTTTGTACAAAGTTTTCCATAATTTCGTTAAATTTTGTTGTTCCACAGATTAAAATTAATGTAGTCTCAGGTGAATAAGAATCAAGCGTTCTATCAATTATTTTTGAATTTATACGACTATTAACAATATTTAAGCCAGTAATATTTGCTGTACCTGAAAAAATCATTTATTTACTTAAATTTTGTTTAGCATTTTATAAAAATAATATATAATTGTCTAAGTATAACGAGACATCGTACTGCCTTGAGATAAATATAATGTGCATTCGAAATTCCAATAATCTGTTAAAATTCTTAATTCGTCTTTTAAAGGTACGTGCGATAAAAATCGAAATCCTAACATCATGTTAATTTTTGTGTCTTCTAGTTCATCCTTTACAATAGACGCAGCCAATGGATAAAAAGCAGCTATTCCAGATCCAATACTTAGCATAATAATATTTTTATAACTGAAAGATGTTTATGCTCTTAAAATAATGTATTTTCATCTTATGATATTCATTAGCATAGAAGCACCGCTTAACAGAGCTTAACGACTTAATTAATACCTATTTCTGCTATAATTAAAATTTCCATAAGGTCCTCTTATTAAAAGCTCATCGTTAATATTTAATTGTTTTACGTAAGTGCTTGCCTCGCCACTTGGATAAAGTTTAATTAACAGATTCATGCTTCTTCGATTCCAAGATATTGGAGTATATGGCTTTGTCGTGGTAAACAGTTTCATCATTATGTACTGACTTGGTAATAAAAAAATAACATCGTCTTTATTGTCTGAAAATTTATTTTTAACACAAGTGTGGTAGACTTGATGTTTTTAGTATAAGAAATACTACTTTTACCACAGAATTAATAAGTAAGGTATTACCTGACGCGCAATCAAGTTCAATGCAAATGGAATTTTCCGATCCCTCGACGATATTTTTAACTATAAATCTTTTGTATCGAACGAGTGACAAAAAGTTCTTAGCGGATCTTTTACTTTTATTGTACTTCTCCTCCTTCCATTCTTCCAACAATTTCTTGTGAACATCAAAAATGCAAGGATCACAGCCATTCCCACAGCAATCTTGCTCTAATGGTGTTGTGGGTCGATCATTAACGTTAACATCATCGAATGATGTCATCCTCCCATTAATCATCTTAACTTTAACATGTCGTATTTTAAGGAATCTAAACAAAATTTGTATTCTTAAATATATGTCATGGACAATATATTGGAAAAAACTTGTACAATACATTCCAAAGGTAACTGTATAATTGAAAGTTTCTTCTAGATATAATTACAAGCTCAGGCTGACACACTTCTCAAAGATATTGTAATTATGTCATCGGGTGTAAAAAGCATTTAGAAATTTGAAAATAATTTTTACGATGCAATCGATTGACGTACAAAAAATATTAACAAATCCATATGTTGTAAGTTCAAGCATTTTCAATGTTAAGTATTCATTGTGCATAAATATTTTTAACATTTATTTATTAAACGAACAATAATTGGAATATAAGCAAACATTAATTTTTCTAATTTCTTATATAATCTTTGCTATTTAACTGCCAAATTAATAGATAATATAAACATACCAGAAATGATTTTCTTAAGACTTAATTGCCTTTAAAACTTCTTTACAAAGTATATTTCAGCAACTTGTATTGTCAACAGTGTCACTTTGATTATAATCCTGATGCGGTTGCATCAACACAATCGGATATCAACAAAAGACAATAAATAGCTCATAACCAACCATATGCCTTGTACCATTTATTTTCATTTTTGAGAAATTTAATAATCACGATTCTTGTTTCTGATGACAATAAATTAAACAATTATTATTTACAAATAGTCGTGCGTAAAGGCAACTTTAAGCATTTAATTATCGAACAAACGAACAAATGAACATGATACGTAAGTGTTGGTTTTTATGCCGTGGTTTCCAGAAAAATCAACAAAAAAAAAGAAGAAAAAAAAGGAACAATAATTTATCTCTACACATATGTTCGACTACATTTCATTGCATACAGAGATTTTGCGTGTATAGATGAACGTACTCGATAAAATAAAAAAAGGTTTTCTTTTTCATTTTACCGCACGTCCAATAAGTCCCACGTAACCTTCCCATACTGATTCGATAGTGTTGGTGTCTCTTTTGTTATTATTTACAGAATTTGGTGCGTAGGCAGATTATAAATGCACTCGATTAATAGTGGAAAACAAAGAAAAAGAAAGAAAAGGACAATCATGTTTTAGCATAAGTTCGTTATATCATACCGATAATGCATTGTATCTAATGTTAAAATTGAATAATTGTGATAAATATAGAGAAACAAATTTTTTTTTTTCTGACGCAAGTGAAAGTATTGCGGATCGTTAGTATTGTGAACAAAGGCACTTGACTTCAAACTTGAAGCCACGTAATTATGTTCATAAAATTATTTCTGAATAGTAGCAGTGCGCGTTGAGCTGCAGTATCATCGCAAATAGATAAAACCTGCGATGTTGAGATGTTTTTGTGCTGATATCATTGAATGAAAGTAGCAAGTAGTTATTAACTTTATTCTGGACAGACTATACTTTTGAATTATAATTTTAGATTTATGATAAAAAGATATTTCATATTATAATTCATTATGGAAGCACCTATTCCTGGATGGAGGCGATTTACATATATGGAACCATTGGCATTTGCTTTATTTTTTGCCTTTTCTGTATCAGGTACTTTACGTATGATCTATCGTGCATATAATTTTCACTTATTTATATGAAGAAGAAACGTCACTTTTTAAATTTATTGTACACCAAGTTATGTCATCTTTAATAGAAAGAGCTGAAATTGGTCAATAGTATGATAATTTATTCATTTTACCGCCCATAAGTTTATTTTATTTATACAAATTTTCAAAATAGTTTTAATCATCTCTACTATTTCATCGACAATTATCATAATATAACTATATTTTTACTATATAATGAATTTTGATAAAGATATGCAATTTTATAATTATAGATAATTTATTATAATATTACATTGTACAAATATTATAGTTACGACATATATAATTACATCGCTGTGTATTAGTTAAATGTATAATTTATATAGCGCGCTACATAAATATTATACATTATTATAATTTATGTAACGTTGAGTCGACAAAAACGTTATCTATGTCTTACAGACAAGAACCTATCGTTTATCATTGAAAGTTAATTTTATTTAACTAATTAATATATTATCTATGCTGTAGTTATTATTAAAATCATTGTTTAATAAATAATATTGAAAAATTTGAGTGTTTTTTTTTTTGTTCTTGTATTATAAATAAGAATAATTTACAAATTTTTTCTGATAATATTTATGATCAATATTGTTTCATGCATATTAACACACACACTCCGATATATACATATATTATCTGAAAATTATTTTTAACCACTTTTAATTTAGCCAAATACAATAATACATATTAGGATAATTATATTTGAATTACTAAAACATTTTATTTTATTTTATATTTTATTTGCAGACAATGTAATGACTGACTTTATCGTGTATCGAATGTGTAAAAGTATGTCAAGCTTAAACAATAGCGAGTGTGATATTTTACACGAAAACAGCAGTAGCAAAGAAGCAATAATAGTAGAAAAATTAGTCCAACCGCATACAGGGCTTATTTTGGTATTAAAATCATGTATTGAAACAATATTTCCAACGATAATGTCCCTCTTTCTTGGTCCGTGGAGCGATAAAAATGGTAGAAAACCATTACTTATCTTTCCATTCACAGGTATTTAAATATACACGCAGACAAATAATTTGACATTAGAGAATTATTTTTTTTAATTATTATTTCCTTTTTTTAGTACAAAATCTGAAGATTATCACATTTTATATGTAACATGACGAAACAAATGTTATAAATAATCTAAAAATTATTATTTATTCAAGGTTTAATATTGTACTATGCAACAATTACTTGCCTTAGTAGCATCGATGTCAATATATATTGGCTTCTTTTATCTTCCATACCTTTCTCATTGTTGGGTGGATTTCCAGCAATTTTACTAACATTTTTTTGTTATACCACGGATATATCGAATAATCAAAACAGAGCTTGGCACTTGGCTTGTCTGGATACCACAATGTTTGCAGGACTTCTAGCAGGATTATTTGTGGGTCCAATGGTATTTAAGCAATACGGATATATAGCAGTTTTTTCACTATCTACGCTATTGTGCTTCTTGGCATTACTATACTCCATACTTTTTGTGAAAGAAACGATTGAAAATGATAATATGGTAAGTTTCATATATATATATATATATATATATAAATACATGGACATATTGTTCATTAATTATTATTTATTTAAAAAATTAACGCAAATGATAATAATTGAATCGTTAAATAGAAAAGTGAAAGATTTAAAAAATAAATAAATAAATTTTCTAATTATTTTTCAGCGTACATTAAGAAGTGTATTTGACATTTCCTTAGTCAAAGAATTATTCTGTGCCGTTACTAAACAACGAAACGGATTCGATAGATATTTAGTGTGGAGTTGCATTTCAGCCATTGCTTTACACATTGTAATAATAGAGGGTAATTCCTCTATTTCATTTCTTTTTGCCAGTTCCAAATTAGGCTGGAATATCACAGATTTTTCTATATATTCGGGGACTCATATTCTAATCTCTATAGTCGGAATGTTATTTCTGATTAAATTTATCGGTTCATTTTTAAGTAATTATTTTCCTGAACAAATATCTATTCATTCTTATATTCCATCGGTAATACTAAAGCGTGTCTTTACATACATTTTCAGGACTTCCCGATACTTTCATTATTGTTTTATCGTGTTTATCGAACAGTGCGGCCTGTTTAACAAAGGGTTTCGTTTATAAATCATGGCAAATGTATTTTTCATCGGGTATCGGAATGTTTAGTTCAACCGCTATTCCAATGATTAGAGCTATAATATCGAAATCAGTTCCCCCAAACGATGTAGGTAAGTTACATATAACACTACTAAATAACAATTATAATCACAATATCTATTTGTTTAATAACATCTGTTTTACATTGTATCGAAACAGGTAAAACATTCTCATTAACAACTACAATGGAGATGATAGTACCATTTGCAAGTACGCCTTTGTATATATTTATTTATACACGTACGTTGAGTCAATATCCTTGCCCAGTATGGTTTTTGTCTGCGGTACTGCCAATTGTAATTATAATGCTTGCAATTATTATTGAACATAGATGGAGAAAATTAAAAAATACCGAATATACTCCATTTATGAATAATTTTAATTGACAAGCATTTTTTATTTTTTTAATATTTTAAATATTTAAATTATATTTAAGTCTTTATAACGTACTCGCGATTTAAGAAAATCTCTTTTATCGATAGAAAATTATTTTAATTTCACAAGAATAATACATATCATATGTAGATGTCTTCAAACAATTAATTTTATTTGTCGTTGTGACATAGTAGGAACAATTTTCATAAATACTATTTCTAAAAAGCAATTTTATACTTAATTAAAAGCCTTTATAATATCTGTGATAAAACAAAAAAACAAAAAACAAAACGGAAAAAAAAATACTAAAAAAACTTTATACGATATTTTGATAATTTGGTGCTATATAAAATATTATACAAAGTATGCATATACATTTATAATGAATGAGCTTAAAATTTATTTAATATTTAACTTGTATTAAATTTTTATTATAAATTATAAAGTTATAATTCATCACGATAATCCACGTGATCGCCAGACTTGTAGTTCTTTTTTGAAAGAACTTCTACGAGACGTTTTGTAGTTTGATCCGTGGTTAAGACTTGATTATTTTTTCGTTTATTTTGGAATTGGGTCTTCAATTCTACATCACCAACATCTTCGATTATTGTTTGAAACATTTTTGTTTCAACTGGCCCAGGCGAATAATTCAAAACATTCACATTGGGATGTTCTTCTGCAAAAACCTGTTTAAAATTTTGAAAAAAAATCAGTTTAAAAGTAAGAACGATAACGCTAAGCTTTTAATAATACATTTACATTTAAAAATCTGACTTTGACGAATATATAAGTAAATTTAAAAGGAGATTATAATTGATAGACTTTGCCCGTTTACTTGTAAATAATCGCACAACATAATTATAATATCATAATTATATTATTTGTATAAGCATTGTTTAAATTCTTTTTTAAATACTGGTTAAATAAAATAAATATTATTTTGTTAAGTGATTTATTATTATTAACCTTAAAATACATTTCCCTCGCTGCTTTACCGCTGCAATAATACCCAAGAGATTTGAATGGCTGTATTCCACACAAAGAAGTAATGTTAATAACATGCTTTTTAATAGTTTCCTCTTGAAATAATTCCATGAAAATTCCATTTAATACAGCTGGGCCAAACACATTTAAATTGTAATACTCTGTCCAAAGATCATAATTAGTCATTTCGACTGTTGACTGCGAAACGTTTCCCACGGATCCTACATTGTGTACAATTACTACTTCGTTAAATTGATTTGCTTTCTTGCTGCCCAAAGAATTAACAATAATATCTAAAATGTAATGTCTTTAATATTACATAAATAATTTTTAATATTTATCAAAAATTGAGTATATATATTTTAACAAAATGAGCGATTTAATTATCATTCTAAATGTTACAATTATTTTGAAAATCAAAATCTAATTTTCATGTTCTTGAAATAATTTAAGATATAAATCGTCAATATTTCTATAATCTTTATGACCTATAATTTGTACAATGGACTTTTCATTTACTTGCGAGTGTTATTTGATAATCGAGGAGGAAGATTTCGAGAAAAAAGACGTGGATTTACTATGAATTGTATAAAATCCAGGTTCTTTGATTTCTCAGATTCTTCATTCAACCGAATGACCAATATGCTTCATTCAAGTTGTTCCAACATTATAATTACAACGTGAAATCGAACATTTGCACAAGCGATTATGTAAATGATAAGTTAAATTATTGTGAAATTAACAATAAATTTATATTAATCTGATTAGTTTATATTAAAATTTACCTTTTAACTCCTTTGCAGTAGCTTTGCTTAAATCTACACTTTCAACATTAACAGTTAAATGTTTTGATAATTGGTTGGATATTTCTTTTAAATTTTCTAAATTTCTAGCTAATAGAAGAACTTGCGAGTCAATTTCTAAAGTCGAAGCAAAAATTTCAGCAATTTTCCTACCAATACCTTGACTCGCTCCAGTTACCAATAAAAAAACTTTTCCTGAAAACATTTTACTAGTCATTTCTTCAATTATAATCCGTTATTATCTTTATTATCCAATGAGCTATCCAGTGATTTGTCTTCAATATCTTTGATTATTTGTTTCTGCTCATCTACAACCGCTTGTAATACATCTGCTTTTAGTAAATGAACTAGTTCGTTTGCAGTAAGGGCCTGAAAAAAGTTTATTTATATATATATATATATATATATATATATATATATGTGTATATTGATAAGAAAGAATACTATTATAATAAATTATAATAAAATAAGTTTTATTTACGATTATTACTTTTTTCTCATTAATGCGCTATTTCAATATATCATTTTATATTAAAATATTTTAATTATACCGTATTTTAGAAAAAGATAAAAATTAATTGGTATTTAGTACGGTATTGTGAAATAATTGCATAATTTTTAATTGTTTTATTGAAAAATTTATTGGAGTTTTTCAGAAGAACTTCAATATGAAGTTGTAATAATTTTAAATATATCCTATATTCATAAAATCGTCAAATTATTTTTATACTTGTAAATGCGGAGCAATGTGCCTGATAAGTGGATTAGTTGCAAGTTCTCGTTCTTCGGCTGTTTCAAGATTATGACCATTAGTGATTAGTCTAGCGATACAATCCTCTTTTGCACTACTCAGTGAATTAATAAGATCTTGCTTGGATGTACCACCTTGAATACTTTTCAATCTCGAATCTATTAAGATTATACATATATATATATATTTATTTATCATTTTTAACATTTTCTTAATTTTTATTACACATAATTATTAAAACGCTCAAGATATAAATTTTTCATCTTAACCACTCAAACATATTGACTTAATTTTAGTGGCTTAATATTAGTAATGGAGGATATATATGAATAAATTATCTCATCTGTTTTTTATTATTATTATAATAAAATGTCTTTAGTAAATGTTAAGGATTATCTCGTCAATTTTGTTCGCTGTATATTAAATTCCTTAGAGCTAAGAATTACTCTATTCTACAGTAACAAAATATATTATATTATTTTACATTAAACATTACATTTACATTTTAATGGTTATTCATTATAACCGATGAGGAAATAGTTTTTCACAATTTATGAAAATGCCACCTAGTTATAACAATGCTAAATAATTCTACTCTTGGTTCTATTATTTGTTAGAGTGAAAAATGGTTCTTATGAGAGTAAAGCATCAAATACACAACAAAAATTTCCTACGACTTATAATCTACAATTTTAATAATTTTCCTAATTGGATAACCGTGTCGCGGGCAGAGGATAACCTTCGACAAATCATTCGGTCTCTCCAAATATTCCGACGGAAAGTAACACTCACGAGGCGGAAAAAACTTACAAAGTCGCGCCAAATACTCCTCGGAATCAGGCAATTTTGTCAATTCTTGTAAATTCGACGCAGTTGAGACGAAGGAGTCCTCGAAACTACTACAAGACTCCGAGATTTTCTTCTCACCGCAAGTATCTGTACACGACCATGGATCGGTGACGGTTGACTTCATATTTCAATATATTTTTTGCAATTATCCCTTCTCGCATAAACACTTTTTGTCACCAATACGACAAGATCCTGTTTTTACATACGAGCGGCAAGAAGTCAGGATAAGCCCGATCGATGGCAGCGCAATGTCATCGATACCGCCGCGAGTGTCGTTATACATTCTCTTTTTTCTAATTTTTTCCCAAACCAAGGATAAATCGTTACTCCGAATTGTAAATATGGCGGCTTGTTCCAGCCAATCGAAAAGATTTCATTCACGGCGGCGCTCAATTCATTTGCTCAAACATACTTCTAATATACACTTTTCTTAAAATTAAAATTAAAATTCTATCGATTATACATTCATCATAATGTAAGCAAATGATGCAACGTTTTTTTTTTATCGTATAAATATATACAAATTATCGTATGAAAAGAATTGAATTACATGATTTTTCGACTATTCCTATGTAAATAAAACAACGCAATAGTTAATATTATCTGATAACTTGGACTGGACAATAATAAATATCTTCAAATTAATGATCATAATTTGTTGGATCGAAATTTCAATTTTGTCATAACCTTATGAAATATCGGCTGCTTCGATAAGATTTCCCATCCCAGGGGTGATGAATAAGTAGAATCGAGTGGGCCGACCTCGAGTTCCTCCAGCTGCTTATCTTCCCTTCGTAGTGGCTCAAGCTAAATTTCATCCACCACGTCCTTATTGGGAGCCAAAATTTTCATCCTACATTATTATTAAATGCGAGCAAGCATAGAGTGAAAATACAATGCTGAGGTAAATATTATTATTATTATTATTATTATTATTATTATTATTATATATACATACATTTGCATTTATATCGTAAAATTGGTTAATGGAATATAAATTTTAAACTTAAGATTAAATTTATCGAGAATTGCGACTAATCGATCGGGCTCTCATTATAGATACAAATTTTGTTAATTTTTATTGGCTAGCTGAAAATAAAATTTCATTAATTAATGAGCTTAATCTTTTTCTCTCTCTCTCTCTCTCTCTCTTTCTCTCTCTCTCTCTCTCTCTCTCTCTCTCTCTCTCTCCCTTCGATTTAAAATTAATTGAATATTCAAAGTCTATAGACAGTTTTATAAAATGTTTATCTAATGCAAATTTTCTTATTTTCTTATTTTTTATTTTTATATTAAACAATTTTTCTATTCGTTTAATAGTTTTTGTACTCACACCTTATTTATTATAATTATACAGCTTGGCTCGTTTTCTCTACCCACTGTAACATTAATTGCAAATTCTAGAGTAACTACGGATAAATAATATCCTCCGATACGTGATAAAATTTCTAATACAATTGACTCTTACTTTTTCCCTCATTACAATAATGTATTAGAAGATTCATTATGTATCGTCTAATCTAGCAAAAGAAAGTCCCCACGGATGTTTAATAATTGCTTAACGTATCACTAACACACGAAATAGACACTTTTTACAATTTGCAACTCCCTTCGCGCAAGGTCATCTCAAATCGCACTTATATTGCATTGGAATTGTTAATAATTATAAAATTAATAATATTCATTTATACAAATTTTCTATGATTTATAAATATATATGGAATTTTTCATTTACCTATTCATACTCTATAACCATTACACAGTGCATGAAACTTTAAAATTCATTCAATGATTTCTCATCACTGATTGCTAATTGATAAATTACAAAAGAATTTTCTTTATTTTCTTTCAAGTGTATAATGTTCTAATAATGAAACTGAGATTTTGGAAAAATTAAAGAGATTTTCGTATTGTGTAAAGGGGTTAATATCAATTATTGTTATAAAAATCCCACGAATTAAAAGTACCAATTCGTTCTCGTAAGCTACAACATTTATTTATACTACTTTACCTCTACGTTGCTCTTTGACTATTTATATTTTCATTTCTTCAACTATTTTACCATTTTGAAAATTTACTCGTATTTTTCACTTGAATATCGTAGCTAAATACAAATAATTTTATCCTGCCAATTGTACGTTAGACAGTAACTAACAACACGTATAAAGATTTTTAAGCTTCTTACAACTTATAAGATTTCATTACATTTTTGAGATCATGAATTTTGTATTGAAATACACGTTCCTGGAATTTAAAGCTTTAAAGTAATTTAAATTTCACAGGCCATTTTATTATCTTTTAATTTTTACAATGAAATTATTACCTAAGCAATTTACTCGATTATTTTAAATACGTTAATCTTGTAAAATTAATTAGAATATTTCAGCAATTTATTATTTAAGATAATTATCGATCAATATAATTCTGAAGATTAATTGTGTGCGTGTTTAATTCAAGGTACAATTGCACTCTATTAAATAAAATTATTTAACTATTCGGATAATTTTATATTACGATGTTAAAAATTAATTCGAATATAACATTTGTATCAACGTGCATGGTCATTCGTCGGTAAAAAAAAAAAAAAAAAAAAAAAAAAAAAAAAAAGTTTTAAAATTACTGTTGAATGTTTTATTTGTAATAATTGGCATATTTGGAAAATTCATTTGGAGAAAGCGTGAAAATTCTACTTGCAAACTTTTTTTTGTAAAATCGTTGTATCTATTAGGCGGAAAATTTTAACTTAAAGAAAACTGTATCGTAGGAATATTTGTAGGCCAATTTTTTTATTATCATGAATGGCAGAAGATATTTCCCAAGAATAATATAAGATAATAAGCAAGTTTTTTTTTCTTTAATTAACTTATAAATTTTTCATTTAAATGTCATAACCGAAACCGTAATTACTATTGTTTTTCATAAAACTAAGATCTTAGATCGGAATTCAATAGTATTATATATTTTTATTTAATCTAAATACGTATTTTTAATTATATTCTACAATTTATATTTGAATTGTCAATCATTTTCTAAAATTTATTATATAATGAAAATAATTTGTTTTTTTGTTTTGTTTTGTTTTGTTTTTTTTTTGTTTTTTTTTTTTGTTTTTTTGTTTTAACATGTCTGCGGCTATCGTGAAATAAGCGTCAGCAATAAGTTGATGCTGTTTTTTTTTTTTAATTTTAATAGTCCAATCTTTACAAATATTTATTTTAGCTAAAATTTAGTATTAATCGAGTTCATTAAAAAATAAAATTTTCCAAATAATAATTTAATATAATAGATAATAAATTCAATTAATGGCCAATTATATATAGAAGAATCTTATAAGTTTGTAGGAAGTTAAATGAAAAGTCTAAATAAATAACATTTGTCATCCATAAAATATTATATCGAAGAAAATATTTTTTTACTCGTGCGATTGTAAAAAATGTCCTTTGCTATTTTCCTTTTGATCGATCTCTTCAACTAATAATTCAAACTAATATTAGTAATCATCATTACTATTATTATTAATAATATAAATTGTTAAATAAATGCTGCCAAACAAACTAGCACTCAAGTTCAATTTCAATGCTATCTATGAAGCTTTCTTCGTGCTTTCCAAGCCGTCAATAAGTATTTAAAATATTGTATGTTTTGAAAATATTTGTATTGAATGGGTTATAAAGTAGTGTGTATAAAGTAGTAGTTATAAAGTAGTGTGGCAAATAATATTAAAAATAATATTATGAATTTTATTTTTGAAATTCTGTTGAAGCTTTTGTAACGTTTTTATACAAATGTTTGATTAGCTCATTCACATAATTATTACTAAATACTAAGGGAATTCCTGTTATTTTAAAGCAAAACTTATAGCTATTGTAAGCTTATACGAAATTATACTTTTGCAAATGCTACAGCCTATTATAATAATTATATATTGTATAAAAAATTGTGATAATAAGTAAATACAAACAAAAATATATGCTTACATTTTAAAGTGAAAGCAGAGTTTTAAATATTCATAGTTTTATTTATTTATGAAAAATAATGGTTCTAAATTAACTGATAATACAATGACAATTACAAAACATTAATCCACTTTGAAATGTAATTTCGTTTTTATTATTAAACAAAAAAAGAGAGATAGAGAGAGATAGAGAGAGAGAGAGAGTGTGTGAGAGAGAGAGAGAGAGAGAGAGAGAGAATAGAAATAAACAAAAATAATTAACAGTTAAATAGTTAAATAAATAAATATCAATTAATTCCGATGCGTTAAGTATTTCGGCGAAAATAGCTATACCAGTAAAAATATTTTTAATAGTACGAGACCAAGTGACCACCAAATTGAATAACATATTTGAAAATGCTGACTGTGTTAACCTTGAGTTCCAGTTGGTCATTTTTGTTGGAGCAACTCATCCGACTGGCAACAACCGTCTCCATAAATGCACATTCTTAACATTATCGACCAAATATATTTTTACGAATTCATATTGCTTTTATTTAAATGAGAGTCTATATATAAGTAAACACGTGAATGCCCAACTGACCTTATAACTTGTGTTAGAATCCTAAAATGTTTAAATCCCAATGTTTTTAAAACTAAGGTAGTTCCAAATTCATATATATATATATCTATTTTACTTATAATTATTATGGATAAAATACACATTTTGTTTCGTTTGAAACACGTTGGGATTAATTAAACGATCATATTACAATCATTATTCAATTTTACGAATTTTCGAGCTACGTTAATATAAATGACAAGTTATTTCAAAATTCTTCGATTTTGAAAATATATAATCGTAGGCAAAAAAAAAAAAAAATAACACGAGCAGTCAGTCACACAAGCGCACAAGCGCACAGGCGCACAGGCGCACAGGCGCACGTACACGCGACTGAGCATATAAGAGCATTCGACAAGTTTTGTATTCAAGGTGTATCGATTACATTTTCTTCTTGAAAATTTATTTGGCTATTGCACTCCGTTATTCAAATGCTTCGTTTAAAGGTTACGCGGAGACAAATTTATGCACGCTTCTGTAACATTTAAACTCGCTAATTTTGAGTCATTTTTTACATTATGTAATTCTTATTTACCTTGGTGGATTGATTTGTAATACGCGCTATCCTTCGGTATACTTGTATTTCAATAATATTTTAAAAATATAATAATTAGACACCTTGTAATGTGAAATTTTATTAAGAATGATATTAAGAAGTTATAAAAACAATGCACTTTCTAAAAGAATGGGTTAAAAAATTAAATAATTAAGATAAGCACTTTAAATTCAAATTCATGAAAATAAATTATATATTTCCCAAATTGTGATAAATTCTAATAGGTAAATATAGATTTTTCTCATACGTAAAATAGCGAAATAAAAAATATATATGTAGAGGCATTTTAATTTTATAATTTGATACAATGTTAATTACAAAATTGATATAGAGTTTCGCGCTTACGTTATATCGAGATGAAATAAATATATTTAATAAGTATTCATTGCATTTATAATCTTTATTCAAAATTATAATGTTTTATTTGAAATAAAGCATTAAAAATAACTTAAAATTGGCCAGATTTATAAATATATGTAAAATATTAAATTAACAAAAATTTAAATATCTATTTAAAAAGATTTCAATAACGGAATGATTTTGCAATATAATAACTCATATTATACAGAAAATTTAATAAAAAAAAAACAAAGAAAAAAGGATTTTTTGTTTACTTTGGATCGTCATGGTAATGAAAAAACGGTCCGACTAGTGACTGCTTATATTTTAAGATCTATTTATTCTAAATTTAAAGATTTTATTGATAAATAATATTGTCATTTGTTATGGCTGAAGCTATTTCATATTTTGCTGTTAAATGGAATAATACAATAGTTTCTAAAATACTACTAAAAATAGTGATTAAAATTCATTTATAAAGATTTAAACGTTATTTCATCTAAAATTATAAAAAATATTTTATATATTATATTATAGAAATGTCTTCTGTAGACAATTTCTAAATCTTTTAATAATGAATTTAAAACAAAAATTTATAATAACATCTTGAAAAATAGTTAATTTTATTATTTACCCGATTATACTATACTAATTTTATAATAGCATAGATTAAATTTATAATCCAGTAAATCATTAAACTTATTTTAAAAAGTTGCATTTTTTTTTTTTTTTTTTTTTTTTTTTTTATTTTA